AGCCCGGCTCGGGCCTGTATGATGAGAGCATGTAGCTATTGCCCACAACCGTATCCAACAGGAAACTCCACAATGGCTTCCATGTCTTTCTGTGGACACGATTTGTATTATAATAGCTGCGCATCTGGTCTGCTACGTCCACGCCGCACATCCAGAGGTTATACTCATCGATCATCACTGGAATATTAAGCCACGCCTGCGCCTCTTTACCGAACTTCTTCACCGTTTGATGATATCCTGTAGCTGTTTTTGTAGGTCGTTTCCGTAGCTTAGCAATGTAATCCTTCCCGTCATGCACAGTAGACAGGAACAAGACTATTGTTGCATCTTTCCAGGCGAATTCCATCACCTTATGACTCTTTGACAACTCGCTATATAGCGTGCCCCACGGAATTTGCCTATCGTGGCTTAACTTGAGGTCTACAAGCGATGGAGAGAAGCTCTCTGCAGGCTTAATCTTCTTCCTCTTTGTCTGGCGTTGTGAAGCGCTAGATTGTTCCTCAATGGCGACAATATTTGTCTCAATTCCTTCCATCTCTTCTCTCTTTGTTTTAGTTGTGCGCACGGTGCCAGCTGCTCCTATTCCAAGCTCACGGAGCCTCTCAAATAGCTTTACATTAGAGAAAAGATTATCCAGCCAAACTACGTGCTTATGAAGTGGATAGAGGGGTTGATTTGTGATAGAATCACGTTGTGTTAAAAGATCAAGCACAACGGCTTGTGTTTTGGTGAAGCCCTCTGCAAGGAATAATTCGTTAAGGTCAATGGGGCCATTCTTATCTCCCTTAGCATGCCATAGCCAATCGAGAACGTAGCCTTGATTAGCAAGAACCCATATTTTAAACCCCTCCGGCGTTGGTTTAGATGGAATGTTGACAATTTCGCTAGCCCGTCCCATGAACCTCTGTATTGTTTCATCGACGGCAAGGTGAGGGCCTGGGGTCCAGTACATGCGGCTGCGTACTCGTAGATACTTAGAGAGCTCATCTATACGCTCAAATATCGAATGGAATCCATCCTGGGGCATAGGAGAGCACCGAAAGTACCGATCAATCTGCTCAAACCGGGTCTTTGAAATATAGTCTTTCACTATATGGCTAGCACCACGTGATCTAGGGCCCCAATAGTCCTCAACGCGCTTCTTCACGGTAACTCCCATATGAATAAGTGTTCCAAAATAGGCATAGAGCTCGTGCCTTGTAGTTGGCTTCCATGGCCGTGGCAGGCGCACGTCGGTGGGCCGGTGCTGTTCTGCATGCTCGTTTGTCCACTGCACCATCTTCTCCATCATTTCATTGGTGAAGAATAGCTTGAAAATGGCCATAGGATCATGCCGATTAAGACCAGAGGGCATAGAGGCTCTCCCTGGAGCATGCCAACTGTTGATGCGGAGCGGAGAGAACTCGGGCAGCGGCGCCGGCTTTGGGGGGGGTGTTTTCCCTTGTTTTGTACGAGAATCCTTCCATTTGACATAGTCAATGTCATTTGATGTTCTGGGCATGATTGGGCATCAATTGCTGTCTTTTTAGGTGGGTTCTGGTTGATTGTTATGCCTGACAATGTTTGTTTGTATATCTGAGAATGATGTTCGCTTGGCGTTGGCCCGAGCGTTGCGCCTCGACGGGTTAAGGGATAGACCCTGTGCTTGAGCACTTTCGACGCACTCAAGGACGACTCGGCATTCACCTGGGTGTCTAATAGACTACCAAGCTTGACAAGAACCCTGGATATTCCTACCAACATCAAGATAGACTGGCTTAATGCCGCCAAAAACGACAGCCAGGAGACGGACCACGAGATCTGGAATGATGCCCTTATCGCTGACCTACTATTGCTCATTCCAAATCTACAAAAGCTCCACTTGTACGCGAATAACGGCTTGCTAAGGCTGCTAGGAAGTCTCGCTCAGTTGCCATCCAGGCCAATTCTAGGAACCGTGAAGGTCTTGGAAATCGACGCCGGAAAGCACTATGGCAGCGTCCGGTGCAATAAGTACGTCCTGCCTTAGGTTCAGCTACATCGCTCATGTATCTCCCTCCTATTCACACACTCCGCATCGATTTGCAAGGCGGCGCTTCCTGGTGGGCCTATTGGGTCAATAGCGCGGCTAATGTGCCTTCCGCCAACTAGAAGCCTCGGCGTGTCGTTCCAAAACGGACAAAGAGTTGCGGCCGTCACCAATCTCTCAGTCAAAAACTCAGCTAGAGTGCCTCAGCTGGTATCTTTGCTCGGTTGCTTCAAGAATCTAAAATCTTTCGAATGTTCCATCGACTGCGTTTTTATCGACTAAGACTTCGCAGAGCTTGTTTCGGGACTTTACCCACACCGGGAGACCCTGGAGCATCTGATGATCGTCAGCCCAACTTACCCCCACGGCCTCTGCACATCCGTCCACCAGATCGACTGCTTCCCGGACTTCGAGAAGCTCCGAAGCCTCGTTGTCTCGAGCAGAGCCTTCATAGCTAACGTTGCATGTCTGCCTGACATGGCAGCGCGAAATATCGCACGCCGCCTCTTGCCGTCACTAGAATCGTTGACGCTCAGTGACTGGCTGTACAAACCGCTATCAGGCCAGCCTGGTGTTCCCGTGGATGATCTTCTAAAAGACAAGAAATACAACTGCGATCTTCGGCCTTTTGTGCACCTGCTCGCGTTCCTGAAGCAAGGCGAGCTGCGGCGCATCAATCTACCCGAAGACGAGGGAAATTGAGAGAGCTTCAGGTTTAGCGCGCGCGATCATGGGAATGCTCGGTCTTGTGGCTGGGTTTGCGGGGGTGAGGGTTGAACTGACGTCGGAACGGCTCGCAAGAGTACACGCGAAGGCTGGCTGTGCATCCACGGAGTCATTGAACTTAGGGTGCCGAGGGAATTGCACGTTTGGAGAACACAACTGGGGCCGACTTCAATCTTCGTCCTGCACCTTTTCATTCTCTCGATAGTCGATAGTCATGATGCGGGGATGTGAAGCCTGTCAAGTGCCAGCCTGCTTAACTGCTTGAGCTACCTCATGCCCATGTGTATCAAAGAAACAAGATGTAATGACCGTGAGACTGTGAATTACTTTCCTTGCCACAACTTAGAGACTGCTGACGAGACCATTTGTAAGCCTGGAATGCTTCTAAAACATTGTTCTGCTACCTTTTCTTCGCAGACTACCTTCTCTTCACAGACTACCTAGGTAGATCCCGCATTCTTACCCTACACAAACCACATCACAGCGTCACAACCACCTTCTCTCCACTAACAGTCTTCACCTCATCTAAGACATCGGGCAGCTGTTCCAATCCATGCCCCACCACCCTAACCGGCAGCGGCACCCTGTACGTGCCGTCCTCTACCAGCTTGGTGAGCGACGGGATGAGCTGCATGCCACCCTGCATCTCGGTAATGGACCACCCGCGGACGTCGAGCTTGACGACTCCATCCGGCACTGGCACCGGTATGCTGGTGATGACGGCCGCGTACTTCTTCGAGCCGGCGGCGTCGAACACATCGCAGATATCGGTCTGGCTGGCGCCGGCGGACACGCAGTCGAGAATCACGTCGACGCCAGCAGCTCCCGGCGACGCGGCCTTGAGATTAGCCACGACGGAGGGCGCCTTATAATCAACGACATGCGTCGCGCCGAGGTCGTGCAGTCGCGCGCGGTGCTTCAGCGAACTCGTCGCCAGAATCGGCAGCGCTGGGTACGCTTTCCGCAGGAGCTGGATCGCCGCGGCGCCCGTGGCGGAGCTGCCGCCCAGGACCAGAATCGAGGCGGGCGGCTGCCCCGCGGTCGACGTGCCGTGCAGGAAGGGCAGCGGGATCTGGAGGCTGTGGACGATGCCACAGACGGCGGTGACGAAGCCGACGCTGGTAGAACGCACGCCCGGGTCAGCCCTAGCGCGAAACCCCTACCCGCACGCGCGGTCGATGTGGATAGACTTACGGCAGCGAAGTAGCCTCGGCAAGGCTGATGTTCGCGGGCTTCTTGGCCACCAGGGACGCTGGCACCGCGACGCGCTCCTGGAACGCGCCGCCCCAGGGGACCTCGTGGGCGCCACCCCCCTGCACACCCGCGACCTCGTCGCCGGGCTGCAGGTCGTGCACGTCGGCGCCCACAGCTTCGATGACGCCGCCGCCCTCGATGCCCAGCACGTGCGGCCAGCTCGGGATGAGGAGGCCCAGGTCGCGCTGCTTCACGTCGATGAGGTTGAAGGCGATGACGCGCTGCTGGATCAGCACCTCGCCGGGAGCCAGTGTGGGCTTGGGCACGTGCACGATCTTGAAGGGGCCGCCCTGGTGCATGTACTGCAGCTGGGCGGTCGTGTCTGCCGTTGCGGATGTCATGGTGGTGGTGGTGGTCGGGAACTTAGATGCTGATGTAGACGGAAGGATTATATGGTTGTTTCTTGCGTGGGCGGGATTGGAGCGATGGTTGATGCAAGTCGAGGGCGCACACCGTCCCAATATATAGCCTTGCGGGCTGTTTGAATGGGCCGTTGATTTGTTGCTGTATTCTTTTGATACTGTGGATGCGGCCGCTTGAAGATCGTCGGCTCGTCGGCTCGTCGTTGTGGACATGAAGATCATGGCCCTGATCAAGTTAGCGGCGGCCGACAAAACACTATCCATCCACAGGGGCGATAAACGGCTAGGGGCGGCCGCCTTGGAACCTCACCATATCACGTTGCTATTCCTCGCGGACATACCGCACAATCCGCCAGCGCGATTATGAATCTGCCGGACAGCACCATAGCCAACACGACGCACGCTCAGAATGTCTGTCATGCCTGCATGTTGCGGAAAAAGGCATGCGACAAAGCCTTGCCTGCGTGTGGTTTCTGCACCAGCCGCCAGCTGCGCTGCAGATACGATATCTCGGCGCCCAAGAGTAAAGGCCAGCGGACGTATAACCCAGGCAGACACTTTGTGGCCCTTCAATCCCCGTCTCCTCCGAATGTCTCTACACAGGCTAAGGCTGTGACGCGACAGCTGCCGTCCCCCGAGAGCCTACAAGATCATACTCCTATCTCCGCCTCTAGCCTCTACGTCTTCCCGCAGCTGGTAGAAGAATCACTCAACCAGCTAGCCCGACGCTTGACCGAGCTTACCAAGCTCACGTACGACAACATCGTCGACCGCTACTTTCAATCGCTTCATAAATCATTCCCTGTAATATCGCCCGACTCGTTCCGCCGAGAAGCGTCACGGTATCGAGACAAAAGCCATCTTCCCCCCGCAGATTTCACAGTCCTCCTTCTCGCCATGCTACTGGTTGTGCTTCCCCCCCTTGACCCTTCTTCATTACCGCCCTGTGCAAGCCAAGAGTTCTTCTACACGACTACCAAGTCGGCCTTCGCTCAAGCGCAGGCCTCTCTCTGCACGTCTCTGCGACTCGTCCAAGCGGCGTTCCTCATCGCACTACGCGAATACATGTGCCTCCGCCTAGAGACCGCGTACATCTCTGCGATGACTTGTGCGGGTATGGCACGGGTTCTGGGGATCGGAATCACGTCGATAAGAACGACTCGAGACGCACAGATAGCAAGCACCTCCCGACCGGAGATGCTAGAGCGGGAGAATCTCGCATGGGCGATTGCGATGCTCGAGAGGTACGCGTGCAACACCCACAAAACACCAAGCTGCAAGTTGCGAACCATAACTAAAGCCACATCCTAGGCTCATACTATGCGAGCTGGGCCGCAGCGATCTCCAACCTCAAACCGAATACCCAGGCCCCAACTGCCAGCTTCCCTCCGACCTAAAACCTGCCGCGAGCCTCGACCCATCGCCGGGGGGGCCCCCAACCGCGCCCGCGGTGAATCAAGTCACGTTATCGAGTCTCAACGCCGCGAACGCGGGCCAGTTCGGCCGGCAAGCCCAGTCCGTCTCCCTGCTCGACCGCCTCCTGCGCGCCACGCGCCTTACCACCACTACCACCACCACCACCATCACAACCACGGCGACCAAGCTCGCGGCGCTCGCGGCGCTCGACGCCCAGGTGCGCGGCTTCCTCGCCGTGGTCGTCGGCGAGCTGGAGTGGCGGCACACGCTCAGCTGCGTGCCCGTGGCGCTGTGTGTCCGGTAAGCAAAGTCATCCTCGACAGCGAGCCTCCTCGATGGATGGTGGGTGCGCTAACAGCAACATTCGATAGGCAGCTTTTCCTTCTGCATGAGGCAGTTCTCGACATGCTTCAGCATCCCAACAGTGAGACGGACCACCGGAAAAGGGATATCGCGTGGGTGGGGCTCGACACGGCGTGCCGGATGATGCTGGATGTGGTGCAGTGGCACGATGAGGAAACGATGCCGATTATGCCGAATTGCTGCTTTTATAACCTCAGGGCCGCGCGGAGGTGCTTGCAGGTGCGGGGTGGGGGGGAGGCGGCGGCGCGAGATGTGGGGAGGCTGGTGGATGCGGAGGAGAGGTATCGGAGGATGTGGGTGTTTTAGGAGTTGAGGCGGAATGAGTTTGTTGGGGAGGTTTGGGGGGTGGATGGGATGGGGTAGGGAGCTCACACCACGTGACGTAGCCGGGGATATGCGAAGTTCAGGCGCCTTCGCGCTCGGCGTAGGTTGAAGTAGCACATGGGATTCTTGTGGCTCCCCTCGGTGCCATGGCGCTGCCCGTGCGAGGTATTTCTCATAGTCGACAAAATACTTCTTGTGGCGCCTCCATCCATCAGACCCACAAGCCCTAGCTGGGCCTTGTTGCCTCATCTCCGCTTTAGGTGGTTCACACATTGGTATAATCACCGGGGAAGGGTGATTCGGGACCAGGTTGAGGTTTGATACGCTTCGCCCTAGGGGGTTTGGTCTGGAGCTCCTCGCGCTCTGGGTCGCTTCTCGCTCTAGCCCGATTGCGCTGCTCTGGGTGAGATTGTTGCTGTTGTTTTGCGTGTTTGTGATAGTAAGAGGGAGGTCGGCTGTTTGAGTAGAATAATGTACTGTATGGTTACAAGGATAAGGGTGGAAAATGCTTCCTAGAAAGTAGCTTGAGCTTGTGAGGCGTACGAAATTGTATGGGGCCCTGATTTGTGGCCCGGGACGGATCTGAGGCCCGTCGCTACGACTTGATAGTTTATGGTGAGGTATGTCAGAGACTGCGCCGCAGCGGGTACCTACAGCATATCATCACGTCTGGTGACCTAGCGCGGAAACTGAGTTGACCCCGACAACCCACCTTTTCTAGGCTAATAGTGAACCAGCTTGAAGATTGATTGGCTAGGAGGCTGCTATTCCCCCTTAAGGGCGTCCGGAAACGCTATCTTATACGGTAATTCGTGGCTTGATTTTAACGCTGGTTCACCGGACGTGAGTATATACTGTAAGTAAGGGTGAGCCGAGGCTGAGCCAGGCAGGGCCGACGGGTCACGTGAGCTGAGGTGGTCGGGCAGCGTGCAGATTGGGGTGTTGAAATATGATGTACTGACTGTGAGGCTGTGAACCAGAGCTATGGCAATGTTGAAATGAATACTGAGTTGATTGATTGACTCTAGAAGGAGGGAATGGGGCTATCTATATATCTGATCCGTCGCCTGTAGTAGGCCTAATTCTCTTATATTAGAACACTGGCTTGCCAAGGCAAGCTGCTTCCAACAGGCAAAACCTTCAAATCAGAGCTGTTATGCGTTTCAACTGCCAAACTGCTCGACTCATTGGGCCACCAGAGATTCAAGAACTTACGATGAAACCAGGTGTGAAGCCTACGAAACTGTAGCTCAAGTTTTTGTCAGAGACTTCACACCAAAGCCATGAGCATGAGCTGCATCTCCATTGATCACATTTCAAGGATGTTCTTGAACAAGGCCTCGGTAACAATAGAAAGCTGCACATGTACTTAGAACAGCAGAGGGCTTTTCCTGTCGCCTTGCATATGCATGGTGGCTGCGCAATATGCAAATTCGAGGCGCGGAAATGCCCATTTTCGATTGGCTACTTTGGTCGTGCGCGACTCGGGCCCCGAAACGTATCACAGTTTCAATATCCCAATTACGGGGTTGGTGGTGGCACGACCTCTTATTGTCCTGATGGTAAGGCGTTTGGTTTCACGAGTCCTCACCGGAAGGGCCCTTAGTCTCACGAATCTTCACCGGAGTGTTTCTGAGTTGGTTTGCGGCATCCGTCGAGCGCAGAGAGCAAAAGGGAAACTTGTAGCACATCAATAAATGGATTCTACTCGTACAATAGGTACAGCTTGAGTAAGGGATGGAATGGATGCAGCAATATGTCATACATAGTGGTACATAAGCGTTTGTGTATTGTTTCCTAGTCGAGCAACATGGGGAGGGTCGTTTCTTGCACGGATATCTCGTGGGCAGTGCAAGCCTCCGATGCCCTGGCGTCTGAATTTAGAGCATCTTAAGAGATGGCCTGCCCCTTCCTGTAAAGCCCATTTTACATTCCTCTCCACCGTCTTTGCTCAAAAATCCACTATGAGCTCCACGCCAGCACAATCAATCCATGAAATCCACGTTGGTACCTGGACCAACTGGTCCTACGGATCCATTCGAGGAGGCACTGTCACTCTCCCTCGCCCAGACGGTGGCCTACTCACGGCCTTCATTGCTCTCTTTGTCACATACGTTGGGACGAGATTCTGGAGACTCCTTTGCTTTACGATTCACACTGCTTTATCTAAGTTCGACGCTCCTCAGGATGCTCTTTACCACCAACGCCAAGCGGTCCTTCGAAATTCTTCTACCGGCGTCAACGGATTCATGACATATTTGCAGCTTATCTGGACCTGGAAAATACACGCCAATATGCAAACAGCTTCTCGGCGCATCCTCCCCTTCATTTCATTCAGCTCTGCCTGCTTTATGGGTTTCGCTGTCGCTGGTATTTTCTCGTCGCGAATTTCTACAAATGTAGGCGACGAGGTATTAATTACAGGTTCTAACAACTCTGGTTTTCTTGATTCAAACCTTCACCGTAATATGGACGATACGGCGGCTTTTTTAACGCCCTATGCATCGCAACTCATAGTTGCAAGGGCAAATTACGCCCAAAACTGTTATCACTCGTCGGCATCAGCAGCGGATTGCCAGCCTTTCGTCCAGACGTCCCTACCTTTCAAAGCTATATACGATGCGCCTTGTCCATTCCAGCACAATATGTGCAGATCTCAGGACTCCAGCCTCATCCTTGATACCGGCCTTATCGACAGTCTCCACGACTTAGGCCTCAATACACCCCCTGCGTACAGGTTCCAGATACGTCGTGTTCTTCAGTGCGCGCCTGTGATACAAGAAGGGTATACAGACGTTCGTAGAGGGTCTAATGGCACTCAATTTCTTCGATTCCATTACGGCGGCAATGTTATCTACAACACCACTGATATAACGTACGAGTATCCTATGGGTATGTGGGACACATGGCAGAGAGAGTCAAACTTCACCACCGGCGCCGGATATGACTACACTATCTTGTAAGTAATGCTTCCAAACAGTAGGTCGGAATGCTCATGATATCGAACAGCAGTGTCCAGGATCGGGAAAAGTTTTCCGACTCGAGTGTTCTTGCGATCCCAGAGCTCCGTAGGAACGACGCCGATACCTTACTTTTCTTTCTATCTTCGAACAGCATCATTTTTTCGTCTCCCATTGACGACCTGTGGTATAGTTCCCACACGCCTTCGGGAATCAAAGTATTGAGTCCCAATATGGAAACGAAGAATAAAACATATTTCTCAGACGACCCGGCTCGTGTTCTTGGATGTTTGAGTCAATCCCAGATCTGCAATCCGAATCTTTCCAAGGGGCAAAGTTGCACCCCTCTATCGGGTGATTCACCGGCCGATGAGACTATCAGACAAGTCTTTGGAGATGATTCGCTGTCTGACTTTACACAATGGATTGCAAGTATGGTGGCCAACCAGTTGCTAAATGTGCACGACATTGTTGATACTCTGGGGTCCTCTAGCCTCACTTCTCGTTACAAGCTTAATGGAGGCTTACAGTCCCCGTTGCCGTCAAATCAATGGCAGCTTGAAGTACAGCATTGGTTTGCGACACACCTCACCTCCCTTCAATGGATATGGGTCGAAGTGGCAACGGGCCCTTCAGACTCGTCTGTGGAACCTTGGCTTCAGAGAGCACGGAATCCAACTGAAGCTCAAATGTACCGCAGCCAGGTAAGAACTCATCCTTTCAAGCCGTACGGCCTTGAAAGACCTTGCTGATCAGTACGCAAGAAAGTCCGCAGGACGGATTACACCAATTTCAGCATCCTCGGGCTATCTCTGACCTTCACTATCGGTGGTCTCATTGTCATCGCGTCGTACATGGCGGAACCGCTCACCCAATGTGTACAGAAACGGAGAAAACTTAATGGGTACGCACGCCTGGAGTGGATATCCAACGACATGCTCCAGCTCCAGAGACTGGCGCATGAAGAACTGGGCTTGGGGCAATGGTCGCGGGCAACAGATGATATCCCGGTCACGAAAGTTGGCGACATGCTGGGTGTGCTCGACTTTTCAGACCCGGGGCATCCGAAGCTCAAAGCTCCGGCTATGACGAATGCCGAGCACGGTACGGATAGTGACGAAGACAAGGACGAGGAGAGTAGTGACAGTGCGGAGACTGCAGTCGCAATTCCAATCGATGGAGACCCTGCGAGTCCTAGTGCTGACAGCCCAGCTTCGCCTGACATGATCGAGCATGAAGTCTCTCCGGAAGCGGTTCCGAATGCTGAGAATCTAAGTCCAATAGTTGAGGCCTCAGAGCATGCGGGACTGGATGCTTCGGATATCCCGGTTTCATCGACCCTGAACGGGAACGAAGATACAGGCGTGGCGGAGCAGCTTCTATCTCCGACTTCTAATTAGACGGCGTTCTAGCACTGGCAGAAGTCCCGCAACACACTTTCCGCAGTCAAAAAGAACCATGGACGGAACGTCCAAATCAGCCTCACATCTCATCTAGGCCACCGCATACACCGAGTTCGCTTTATCAGATCAAATGAAAAGATGGTAACCCGATCTCCAACGCTGAACTCATTACATCCATTGTTGAACAGTCTCAGCACTTAGGGCTCCTTCAGACAACGGTATGCCGGAGGCAATTACGAAAGATGTCTATACTGAAATGCACTGCGCGGCATATCCTCTTGTTTTTTTTTTAGCTCCAGAAAGTGATTGAGTGATCTGAAGTCTGATTTTTGGCTTTGAAACTATTACACCGGCTCTTGAAAATGTTTAGTAGTCGGAGCCACCTTATACACCGTCAAGCCGGTAGCAATAGCAATGAACTTGTATCCCGAAACGTCCTTTTCCAGTGCACTGCTGAATTTGAACTTGTGAGATCGGATTGAGTGATCTCGGGCCTGAATTTCGGTCTCGAGATCATGACATTCCGATTTAACACGCTTTGCAGTTGGAGCCACCCGCCGTCAAGAACTACGTCCTTGCCGTTTTTTGCTTGAGTTGAGTATGTAAGATTTGATCGATTGGTCTAGGGCCTGAATTCCGATCTCGAGATTATGACATTACCTTTTGAAAATATTCGGAGTTGGAGACACCTCTAACACTGCCAAGCCGGTAGCAATGACGATAGGCTTGCCTCTCGACATGCTTCCTCCTAGTGTAATGCACGAGTTGAGTATGTGAGATTTTATTAAGTAATCCAGAGTCTAACTTCTTGCATCGAGGTTATGAGATTCCCTACTGAAGTTCTCAGCAGTGGGAGACACTTCGTGCACCGTCAAGCCGTTAGCAAAGGTGTTGAACTTGTATTTCAAAACGCCGTCTTACCGCGTACTGCTTGAGTTGAGTGTGTGAAATCTGATTGAGGCACCTAGGGCCTGATTCCTGACCTAGAAATCTCTACATTCACTGTTCGAAAGCTTCGACACCTGGAGGAACCTTATACATCGTCAAGCCGGTGGCAATGGTGCCAGACAGTTATTACGAAATATCTACTTGCGGCGTACGGTCTGGATTCAGAATGTGAAGTTTGATTGAGTGATTCAGGACCTGATTTCCGATGTGAGTCATTACATTCACTGTTTGAAAGCTTCGGCGCATGGAGGTCACTCAAAGAGCATCGAGCGAGTTGCAGTAGCAATGGAGGTCTATCACGAAACATGTGCTCACAATGTATGGTCTAGATTTGGGTGCGAAATTGGATGGAGCGACTTACGACCTAATTTCCGATGTCGAAGTCATTACATTCACTTCTCAAAAGCTTCAGCACCAGGAGCTCACTCAGACATCGTCAAGCCGGTTGCAATAACGACGGCGGTCTATCCCAAAATATATACTCATAATGTATGGTCCAGATTCAGAGGGTGAAGTTAGGTGTCAAGATCTCAGACCTAATTTGAAGCGTTGAAATTCTTACATTTACTTTTCAAAAGCTTCGACGCCTGGAGCTCTCTCAAACATCGTCAAGCCGGTGGCATTGACAAGACATGACTCTGTTAAAACACACCGTACGGTGGATTCTTCGAATATTGTGCGCAAAACGTATTCGACAGAGCTGCGGCTCGATTCGGAGAGTTGTGCTTTTGACATCCTACCTTGAAAGCCGTTAATAGCTGGGGCTAACTTAGACGTTGTTAAGCCGGTGGCAGTAACAATACACGTCTCTGCTAAAATACACCGTGCGGCGAATTCTTCGAATCCTGTGTGTGAAACGTGTTCAACCAATCTGCTTAAGCATCTACTTGTAGCTAGGGCCACCTCAGACGCTGTCAAGCTGGTGGCATTAGCGATATATCTCTGTAATTAATCACATTGTAAGGCATAATTGCATGTAAAACATATTCAACAAATTTACGGCTTAATTTGCGATGTTGCGTTTTTGACATCCTACTTTAAAAGCTATTCATAGCCGGGGCTACCTCAGACATTGTTAAGCGGGGGGCAAAATCAATGTGTACCGCTGATAAAACGTATCGTACAGCGTACGACTCGAACTTTGTAGGCAAAACGTGAATGATTGTTCCGCGGGCTAATTTGCGGTTGCGTTTTTGACATCCTACTTTGATAGCTCTTTATAGCTGGGGCCACCTCAGACGTTGTTAAGCGGGTAGCATAATTGATACATGTCTTTAATAAAACGCATCATACGGCATACTATTTGAGTTTCGTAGGCAAAACGTGATTGATTGATCTGCGCGCTGATTTGCGGTGTTGCGTTTCTGACATCCTACTTTGACAGCTATTCGTAGCTGGGGCTACCTCAGACGGTATCTAGCTGGCAGAAATCGTGGTAGGAATGTGGCCTCATTTAGCGTGTTCCCTAATTTCTATAAGAAGAATTGGTTGCAGAAGGCATGTCCTGATTTGTGATGTAATGATTGTTACATTCATAGTCGAAAAACTTCGACAGCCCGGACCGCTTCAGACAGTGTCAAGCCGGCGTCAATCAAGGTAGGTATTTACCTAGAAATTGAGAACATAGTCACGTTATCAAGAAAACGTCACGTTTAGATTAACGAAAGGAGGACAGAGTTTGATTCACGTCCATCCGAGCCCGGAATGGACAATAGTTATCAACCACTGGGGTACCCCCAAGCCCATTATCCAAACGCCAAAACACCCAAAAATCAGTCCAGAAAAGCGGGCAGAAGACCCCACCAGCTAAATCGCACCCAATATCAGCCCGAATTTCCAAGGGGTAGACCCTTTAGCGGACACCTCAACTACTTAGCCACCCAGACACTACCGCTCCAAGAGCTCTCTACATCCCAGCATGTCCACCCCTCCATGAACAGGGAGCCTTCACATCGGCACGCTCCCTCCCCCCTCATGTAGCCAGTCTGACCTGCATGCTCTGGGTCCATGTGAATCAGCCCATCTTTCACAGCGTGTTGAATCCACTCAACCCATCCAGCTGCCACGGCAATATTGCAGGGGTCCTGCCTCTGCTTCACGAGCTCGATCTTCTCCCTCTGGAACTCCGCCTTCCAAATCTTCATGGCGTCGGGTAGGATTTTCTCGATGCGCACGGCCGCGTAGGGCGTCAGGTCCTCAGCCGGAGCCAGCAAAAGGCGGCCGACAGTGACGTCCAGTTTGTGTATGATGTCGCGCAACAGGGCGTGAGAGCCTCCCCACGGACAAAGTTCCTTCGCATAGCGATTGAGGACGGCAATGTCGGACGCAGGGAGAAGCGGTTTGGAGCATGCAGTCGACGCGACGCGCAGGTACGTGAGCGGGATCGGGCTGATTTTCGGATAGACGAGCTCTTGGTCGAGTCTGGGAAGCTGTCGGAGCAGATCGCGGGGATTGAGGACGGCGGCTTCGCGTGGGGGGAGTCCAGCTGTGGCAGCGAGGCTCAAATGATCGTCAACGGTTCGATAAGTTGGAGGGCGGCTGTCAGGGGTGGGCTCCGAAGAGGGCAAATCTCGAGATTCGAGCACGCGCAGGGTCTCGGAGTGATGGCGGAGGTGACCGGTCGGTGCCACGGAGCGGGCAAAGTCGATCGCGGTGGGCTGAGCTTCGGTGACGATTGGATCGGGGTTGCGCATTCTAGACTGGTGTGGAGTCCCTGCAGGTGATACGTCAACAACTGGCGCTATGGAGATGTGGTTGCGGGATTGACATAGGAGAGATCTTACCTTCAAACGGCAGTTCATCGACGGCTGCCTGCATGAAGCGGTCGTTCTCGTACTGGCCGGGGAATAGCTGGCCAATCGCTGCCTGTACGTGCCGGTTGGTGAAGTATCTATTTGCGGTTCTCCTATTGGCAGTAGCCCGCGCGTGGTTGCCACCATACGAGAGATCGTCACGTTCTGCCACGGGCACAGTAGTCCCAAGGGCCAAGGCGCCTCTCATGTGCGGAGGCGTGGCCTGAATACTCCCGCGGCTAACCGTCTGTGGGGGGGTTTTAGGGGCGTCCGTTGGCTGTGGCATTAGTAGGAGGTGAATAGAGCACGCAAAGGGAGTGGAGGAGTGGAGGGAGGCATGACGATACCATGATGGATCTTGTTAGGGTCGCGAGCTCAGGAGATGAAGCTGCAGACGAAGATAGACCAGATCTTGTGACTATGCGCTGATGAACGTTAAGTGGTTGAAGAGAGACGAGAGTTGACTGATAGATGACCGAGCCGCTCGCTTAGTCACTCCAATTCGGCTAGTCCGACGTTAGGCGAGCGATGTTGCGATGTTGGTGAAAAAGTCAGCCTTGGCATTCGTCAAGCTCTTAGAGAAGACATGTTCCGCGCATGTGACAGCCTAAAGTTGAGTCCTTGACTCAAGATTAGCCCGGTATATTTGAAGAATGCTTTGGGACTCGCCGAAGAGGCCTCGATGATCGATTGGATTCTTGCACGTACGCTGAAATGACCGGCCATCAAATGGATTAAGGCTGATCGGATTACTGATCGTGATGCTTAGTAGCCTAAATTAGAATTGAAGGTTAGGGAGCGCCAGCAAGCTCTTACAAGAGGGGTTGAAATGGATTGTGACCCTAAATATCTTCCACCTACTTGAACTCCTGACATCTTTCTCCCTGATTTTGTCTTTCGCTTTCTCTCTATGCCGTCTTACCAATTTATGTGGTGCTCCATTTCGTTTTTGAACTATCCAGTATGATCTAACCTTAGGGTTTTGGAAAACCAGTAAACTCGCTGGGCCATCTCAGACAGCGGTGTAGAGCTAGCTGCACACAAAACGACATCTTGGACTCCTGGCGCTCGCACCTTCGATTCGCACCAATATAAAGCCAATCATGTCATCTAGGCGAGAGCTCTACCAGGCTGAGGAGGATGTTTTTCCCTGGAAGCTGCAGGGTTTGCGCAGCTCTTGCTCAAAAATTGGACGCTACTTCTCTACGCCCCCTTCCACCTCATTACAATTACCTCGCAGCTCGTCCTCGATCCCCACAACAACAACATCGGTGTATTCGGTAACACGCTTTTCGCGCCTATCGCTACCGCAATTATCGAATTCTTATTCTGTCTTGACTGGACTAGAGCGTGAGACATCACTTCACACAACTGAGACCGACCAAAGCTAATCTACTAGACGAATTCTTCCATACCAGCAAAAACTTGACGATGTCGCCTGTATCTTACGGCACCTGGTGGGATATATATGAAGTAGAGGGCAGAGATGCCGATGAAGATCCCCGTCCTGGGGATAGGTTCTACGAACGCCCCCAGTCGCCGCCGCCTGAAGGCTGGGCCCATGAACCGGAGGCGACGCGGTATGATGATGGCTATGGCTCCAGCGATCCTAATCACACCGGCGACATACCCCTCCGGCCTATGGGTGGCTATGGCTCCAGCGATCCTGACCACACCGGCGCGGGATCCCTCCGACCCATGAACGACAATAGGACAGAAGGCGGAGAGACCGCTGACCCCATGAAAGCTCCGCTCTCAGTGGATGAGGCAACCGGAGCGAGCAATCAACCCGATCCGTCGATGGATGGCGATATCTCCAGCGGACCTTTCCCCACCCCTCTCCAACCGATCGATAGCAATTTTCCCGTCGGTTCTTTCAGCACCGGCGGCGCACTCCTTCAGGCGATGGATAGTAACGAGACAGAAGGCAGAGAGACCATTGGGCCCGCGGAAGCTCCACCGTTATTAGACAAGGCGAGGGCAACCGGAGCGAGCTCTCACCCCGGAGAGGGACTTAAGAAACGTAAGAGAGGGAGCAGAGGCGGAGAGACCGGTGACCTCGCGGAAGCTCCACCGTTATTAGACAAGGCTAGGGCAACCGGAGCGAGTACTCACCCCGGAGAGGGACTTAAGAACCGTAAGAGAGGGAGCAGAGGCGGAAGGAAGAGTCGGCGCAGTGGAGGCAGCCAGAAAGAGGACACAGACACATCCCCAGTGCCCGAGCTAACTTTGACGCTTATCCGTTGTCCAACCCCCGTTCAAGACCAGAATGGATTAAAGACCAAATCAAAGTTCTGGGGATGGGTTCGTTTCGTCTGCTGCTGTGGATGGGTTCGTTCCATGTGCGGTGGATGTGGAAGACGCCACTCAGGTTGATCCCATCTTGCGTCTTCTCAAGCCTCTTTTGTTCTAGAATGAATGCTCGTTGATTTCTGTGCACACATTGGATGCTGCTTGGGTGTCTTGAGGAGTTCTCCTAAATTCGTACTGTGTCCATTTAAACTGCTTGAAATATCGCCTAGCCATCCCAGACAATGGCAGAAAGGTGGACCAGGTTCACCGTTGCTCCAATGGAGTTCAACTTGGAATTTTCCCGCGTTCTTTCTATCCCTCATCGTAATCCGACGACAGACATAAATGAGTTTGAGCAAACCCGAAACATTCCGGCAAACGCGTTGAAAATTGAATCAACGACGGTAGATCATGTCTTCAAGATCATTCTCTTTCAATCAAAACCTACTGGCGCATTTCTCGATGATCGACTAGATGAATGCATTTCGCTCCTAGCTTCTAAATCTATCACTCTATGGAGATGTTCTAGTGGGTTGTAGATACCTCCCGTAATGTCAACTCCTTTCTGGAAGAAGCCTCCGGTTTTACTTCAAGATGTAGCGAAACCAGTATGAATGTCGCCCAATTGTCTCTTCTAGCTTTCTTCCAAATAGCCCACCACTGCAAATCAAAAAGAGACACCACTCACCAAAACCTGTTTCAAAACCCCCCCCCCCAATACAACCTTTGGGGATTGGTAAATATTCAAGCAACATATAATGCCTCCAATTACAGGGAGCACCTCTAGTAGACAACAAGACAATGCTGGCGGCCCGAACGGTACCCAACCAACGCCAGCAACGACGGCTCCGGCCCATCCCATCCCTCCTTCCCATGATGACGACACATCTATGCTGAGCAACACTGACGTTGGCACCTATCGTGGTCCAGGCAATTTCAAGCCCGTAAGTAAACTCATTCCTTGCTCCTGTAGTCGTCGACATGCTGATAAATTCCTACAACGGGAAGATTCCAATTCTGAGACGGAGACGGAGACCGATGACTCAGTCGAAACAGCCATCTCACGCACATCAGATCGTGAGGAGACTCCACCAAACGATTCCATGGAGGACATCTGTGTACAAATGCTGGACATGTCAAGACTTTGTGTAGATACAACACACTCTACCATGCATCAAGACGAGCCTTGCCTCCGACATTGTTCTCAGGAGGTCGCAGAACAGTTGTTCAGCTAGGCTCCATCGGAAGCCACGCACCTCAAAGGGGATATTTTCTTGCGCCTTGGGAGGATTATGTATTTCGAGCAGAAGGATGCGGAGGTATGGGAAGAGGCGGCTCCGTCTATGGCCAGGGTTGCCGCAAGACTCGTCACGTATCTTGAGAACCATCGACATGAAGACCATCATCAAGAAGGGGATCGCACCGTGGTCCAGCGAGTCAATTGGGCGAGGTGGGCGGCGAAGGCGGCGCAGGATGGGATCTTTCATGAGTGGACGGAGAAGTGCGGGTCCATCGCGGACCAGGTGAAGAGCTTTGCTACCTAGTGGGCAAGTGAGGCTGACTTCATCCTAGAAGATCTATTGAGGTATGCTGTTCAGAACAGGATACTTCAGTGGTAAATTTTCTACTTGACTGCAGTCAGCTTCGATAAAGGCTTGGGGATGCCCGGGGCGTATCCCCTACTTATCCAATTTCGGCAGAATACGATGGGTTATGCATATTCAATCTAATTTATTTGAAATAACTTCGCGACAGAGCAATTCTGTTCTGGGCATGCCAGCCCTCTGTGAGTATTGTTATTTCTTATTTGAGTTTACAATTTCTAGGTCCCAATCTCTCATTGTGACGATGTCCCGAGCGGCATCGGATTATCATTCGCGTAGGATCGATGGAGGAGATGTACAATCGATGCTCCTCACAGCGGTGTTTTAGGGATGAAAACAGTGTCTTCGCCATGTTTTGTCTCGCCGCACGCAGATGTGCTCTACTACTGCCTGGGTTGTTCAAGGTTATGCTCAGAACTCAAATCCATTGATCACAGCTGCAGATTTGTTCTTATCCATGAGCTTGACAAGGCAGGGAACAGCTGGTACCACGAGATCCCAGGTTCGAGGTGCTCTCATGCTGTGAGAATCCGTCCCAAGGTGGATTGTGGGGCTTGAGTACGTCACTGTTGATAGAATCTTAGAGTGAAGGCTGGCAAGGCGCTAGTAAATTCGACTTCTGCACGACCTATTTAACCTCTTCCTTCCTCGCTCCTGGCTTCCTTTCTGCATCCTCTTCTCACACGTTCAGGTGTGCTCTTCTCCTCGCAGAGTCTCCTCTCTTTTCTCCTTCGGAGGTGGCACAGTCGATTGGTATGGCCACCACGAGCTCAGTGGCGATGGAGGAGCCCGGGCATCTTCTCGCACCTTCAGGTGCGCTCTTTTCCTTACAGCTTCTCGCGCCCCTCATGTGCGCTCTTTTCCCTCGCAGCTTTTTCCCTCTTTTCTCTTCGGAGGTGGCATAGTCGACTGGTATGGCCATCACGAGCCCAGTGGCGATGGTGGGGCCCGGGCAGGTTCTTGCACCGCATTTTTCATTGAGCCTCTCACCTTGTGTGGGAACTTGAAGAAGAACGCAATCAATTCGTCTACCATCTGTCGAAACCTTTGTCGTATCGCTCATGCGTGCATAGTCCTATCGATGTTGTTGTGATCTTGCTCCTAGCAACGCCCAACGCCCATCAAAACAACGAGAATGAAGCCAAACTTCGTCGCCTGGTTGACTTGCCGTATGCCTCTTCTCCAGGGTATAGGACAGACTCGACGCTCTACATAGCCTTTTTCTCAACCCCTCTTGCAGGTTCGCCCTTGTCCGCATACCCATCCAAGACTTTCTCCACGCTGAAACCATGAGCTATGTTGCTGCCTACCTCCATATAAGCAGGGGACCCGACTTTCAATACCCTAATTACAAACACGGTCTGGCGGAGCGTAAATCCAAGCCCTTGCTAGTACATTCAGATTATAGCGTCCTTTGACGTCCATTCCCCGATGATGAGGACTGACGAATCCGCTGGCGTTGAGGACTTGCGCGCCGAGCCGCAACGAGATTATCATCCTGAAGCTTCCGAGCTGTCGACGACACTGGTCATATACCTCCGTTCGAGTTTCCAGAGCAGAGCAAGCAGGATGAGTAGGGGAACGAAGAGAAAGAAGGACCTGAATATCATGAACTAACGGCGGCCTTCTAGGAATAGTCCGCTCCTCGCAATCCTATTTTCGACGCGAAGCCTCTCTGGCTACCTCAGAATCGCTATTTCGAGCGCCCATCGTTATTCCCGGGGATCGCCGCCTTTACGTCTATGGGCCACGCTCTCGCCGAGTGCCCGTGAAGCTTTCCGCTGATGAGAGCGCATCGGCGGTGTCCCAGAACCAACTGTCCCCACATATGCTACTGGAACAAGGGCTGAGGAGACGGCGATTTGGCAGTCGTATCGCCCTTATGCTGGGATCCGTGGCGTAGCTGGCGGCGACGACGCTGACGCGCCTGGCCATTAGCTCCAAGGACTGAAGAAGATGAGCGGGAGGATAAAAGCTGGCCAACGAAGAGAAACAAAGGTGCCTGCTTACGCTACCAAGAGCGCCCAGCGTAGACAAGGGATACTAAGTGAAAGGAAAGCGGCAGAAAGCGTGAAGGTAGGCCACATTGGCCATTAACCTGCAAGTTCATCTCATATTCAAGCTGACGCCCGCCAGCGTCCTCGTGAAATTCCTCCCTATCCATGTTCAAGCATCGCCAGGCGTGCGCACCGTGCCTTATAGCGCTGTGCACGTTACCCTTGGACAGATCTTACCCTCGTCTTTCTACCCAGCGCCGTATCAACGCCCTTATCGAGGAGATGGGCGGCCACGATGGGAAGGTTGGGCAGTGGGGCATCAGCGTAGGCCTCGACGAGGATAAATTCCCCGGATTGGATGCACATGAGAGGGTTGAGGGCAAGATGCCATGGTCACGCAAAGATCGCTGAGCGCAGGGCGAGGGTGGTATCGGAGCCCGGTCTAGATACTAAAGCTGTCTTTTTACTTTAGTTTTAGCCAGGCGGTACACTAATGCTAAATAAGGCGGTATCTGTGACATATCCAACAGGCTTCTCTTGTATATAGAATTAATGCGTATACCCATTATCTACAGAGTATCCTACAGTACTACAACTGCTAGCTCCCTTACCCGATTCTTAGCTGACTAGGCAGAATCCTCCCAAACGAGCAAAGTCAGCAAATGATCCCGAATAAAGATAGAAATACTTACCAGAAAAAAGGGATACCCTCAGTACTATCCTCCTGGCATATCGCAGCAGGGGCCTCGCACCGCCTCTCGACATTATTGAAGTAACCTTATAGGGAGCAAAGCTGAAATGTAAGTCCATTTCCTCCTTCAAAACTTACTGTGCCTTCAGCGGCTCTTGAGGTACTTTGGTACGGTGCGCCGGACCCGTGGGACTTCCACTAACATCACAGCCGGTTTCGGTCCGGGACCTTGGTCCTACTTTTACGTTGTGGGGTGTTTATGCACTGCTCTAGCATCCGGGGTCGATGGCCAGGGCGAATTGGCTACGGCTCAGGCTAGAGACAGACCCCCAAGCCAACGTACCGTTGGGGATCTTCCAACATCTTCGCAATGATGCTGGTGGGTCCAGGGGTTGGTCGAGGTAAGGAAAGGAGGGAGAGAGGAGGGGTAGAGAGAGAGGATCGAGAGGGAAGCGGTTGGCCTGCTAACAGAGTTGGGGTTACGTGGAGTAGAAGGCGTGTGGGTGTATGCTTACGTAGATCCTTAGAGCGTTATGCCGTCATTCTCCTTGTGTATCGCCGCAGTAGCCTCACATTACAAAGAAAAGAAAGGCGTGGGGTTGGAGGGTGCGGGGGAGGAGGGGTTCAAGTAGTCGAAAGATTTTGCCTCCGAAAAGTCACCATCCTAGCTGCCTTGCGCGCACACGACCCAGCAACCTCTCCCTAGTTACTCGGCGAATGCCTCTGGCTGTTGGCTCGAGGCCTCCTTTTGATTCATCTTAAATAGTCTCACAGCTGCCCTTTATAAGGCCAATTTGAAGAAGACAGATACCCATGTTCCGATGTTCCGAGATAAACTGATGTGATGAATGACGGTTGTCTCCGGCAATAATTGAACTGAGACATTTTCTTTGAGCTACGTTGACGAGTCTGAAGTCTATAACAGATATGCACCGATATTCCCAGGGGTTGCACGACATCATCGTCAAAGATGGTAATCAAGATTAGGAACTGCGAGACTAAAGAAAGGAAACAAAGTGTTAGGAAGGCTTCAGTCTCCGGCTTAAGGCCAGAAAACCAATGCCTTCCGCCTTGCCAAGTGCAAAATGGATCCACCAAGAACTGATCTGAATCGGCTGCTCCAGAGGGTATGAGCCAATGTGCAAAATGACAACCCCACACGCCCCCGTCCCCTCGAGTTCGTAGAGGAGGATCGGGATTGGCGCCTGAAAAGTCGATCAGTTCTTAGTGACCTGCTTAAGGAAATTCACCCCTTCTCCCCCGCCCCGACCACCCAGAGGGAAATGATCTGAATCGGCTGCTCCAAAGGGTATGAATCAATGTGCAAAACAAAAACCCTATACGCCCCTGTCCCCCCGAGTTCGCAGAGGAGGATCGGGATTGGCGCATGAAAAGCCGATCACTCACCTAAAAATGTGGAAAAACACCGTGAGAAGCCTGGAGAAAGGATTCGAGGTGGACGGCCTGGTCCTTTTATACATAAGGATACCTGAACATGCCAAGGATTAGTAGCCCGCGAACTAATCTGAAGCTACCCTCTGCGCGGGCAGCTATTGGCAAAGAGCGACGGGGAAGGGTATGGAAAAATGGCTACCCTAGAGGGCGTAATTGGCACGCCCCGGGACTCAGGTTGCAGCACTACAACCTAGGATCAACAACTCATATGCTAGAAAGCTACTCCGAACAGCAGCTGTAGAGAACCCAGCTGAGATCTCAGCTGTGGAGAACCCAGCTGAAAGCTCAGCTGTGCAGTGTTCAGCTGAACTTACTAGCGCGCCACCCAGGGGTGGCCCCCTTCCTTCCCCTAGTATATATACAACTAGCTAGACGTCTATAGAAATCAGAGTTCACATCAATTTTAACCTGAGTCCGGGCTCCCCCAGGAGCTTCACGTGCATCTGCTGACCAGTTTTTCCACAGCGAAGGAGCATCATTGCATCGACGAATCTTTCTTAGTATCTGATATAGTTTGTATCTTTGGGATCGGCTCGGGCAGCATGTGTAGGTGGCGAAGATATCCAGCGTAAGGAAGGATTTTCAGCAAGGTCTCGCGTGAAGATGGTTGGTAGTATCAAAGTATAACGATTACTATCATACACGCTCTGGTGAAGGATACCATCAGTGCTTTTGCCATGGCAATTGGCAAAATATCAAGTCCAAAAGCAATCAAAATTGAAGAGAGAGACTTCAGTCTCCAGCACAAGGCCAGAAAACTAATGCCCCCGGGTTGGTCCAAAAGTTGCAAGGGCGGGACATATGTCGCAAGGGGGGAGAGTGGTCAGCCAATTGTAGGGACTGCCCCGATGGAGCTGCTGCCCTGAAGAGCAACAGCCACCACTCTCCTTGAGAGAAAGAGAAAGAGAAAAACAAGCCTGTGTTAGCAGTCCTCTATCTGTTTCTGCCACTCTGCCGCCATGGCTCTTAAATACGTAGCGGTGCTCCTAACCTCCAACACCCGGGGCCGGCGAGGGAGCGAGTAGGTCCTCCTAGGCGAAACCCCGTGGCCATCATGTCCGGGGTCGACATCTTCGGGGAGTGGATTGCCCGAGCCTAAGGGCTGGCCACCTACCGTTGGAATCCAGGGAGGGTGGTGTTAATGAAAGGAAGGAAGTCCAGGACCAGGAATGGAGCCGTTTATATATGCAAGCGAGAGAGGGAATGTCTTGGCTAGACGTACCACGTGACTTGTTCGATTTCGAGTGAATGAGACTCTTACGCACATGGTAGATGGCAGATTGCTGTCGCAAATGAGGCTGCCATTGGTGGCCACAGAGCTCTCGTGACGTCACCGCTTCCGAAATGGCACTCGTTTTCGTGGTTTCTGTTGGATTATGACAATCACCTACAGCAATCACTGCCGGCAGCAAACAGGGCGCTTCCATGTACATAATTTCGCGTTCTGTCAATATTCAGATGCTACGGCCTGCAAACCAACAGTTTCCCCTCGAAAAAGCATAGGAAACTCTAGGAATCTTCAGCTTCAGTTGTGATGAACAGCATTGATAAGTGATGAAGACGTTAAGAATTCTAACAGATAATGCACAGCAGTGGTCTCACACCAGAACAACATCCAGTGAAGTGGAGAGAGATTACCAACATCATCTATACGTTACAGTGAAGATCATCATTAATCTTTTCAACATGAAAAAAAACTCCAGAAAAGCACCAGAGCCGAACGAAATATAGTTGAAAGTGAATGAAGGCTTCAGTCTCCAGCACAAGGCTAGACAACCAATGCCCTCCGCCTTGCCAAATTGCAGAATCGATCCACCAAGAACCTTTCAGTCCTAGGTGACCTGCCCAAGGAAATCTTGAAACACGAAAGAGGAATATGCTCAATCAGCCCGCACTAAGGATACCATGGTACAGAGGATATGATCAAAGTGCGAACCTTAATCCCCAAGGGCCCCCGACTCCCGTTTAATCTAGGAGTCTAGGTGCCCTTGGAGTTGAACACTCCCTCAAGCGTGTTTCTAAACACCGTGAGAAGCCTGGAGAAAGAGTTTGGGGTGGGCGAGCTGGTCCTTTTATACCTGAGGAGACCAGAGCTTGCCAAGGATTAGTCAGCCTGCGAGCCAATGAAAGGCTTCGCTCTGCGCGGGACTGCTCCAGGCAACAGCGCGGATTCTGCGGCCTGGAAGGTCATGGAAGGTCATGGAAAGCTTCTCGGCTGCTTGGAAGCTCCGACTCTCCGACTAGAGCTCCGACTTTTCTTAGAGTCTCACGTGCTGCTGCTCACATGATCGTCTTGCCAACAGTGAACGAAGTCGCCCCGACTACAGTCCGCAAAACACGATTAGACATGCCCCAGACCGCTTCCTGATTTGCCTGATATATAACATGGCCGCACGTATGTTCCACTTTCCTCTCCAGCACACCGTAGATTGTAACTAAACGCGTACTTCTAGCAATGACGAAGCACAGTGAACTCTACTGTTCTGAAACGGCACGATAACACGCTCCCAGCGCAAAGACAAACCTCTCAGTTCGGCCGATCGAAAACCCGGGGACCAAGGCCAACAGGGCCCGGTAACGTCAACGAATACTACAGCTGTCCAGCCAGTCCGCGGCTTGCAGGCTTGTGGCGTATGCAGAAACGTCCGCCGTGTTTTCAAAGATCATTCAGCTAGACAGTGTCCATTCAAGACTCGAAAGCAACGGAATCGCACAAGACAACGCATGAATCCTGGCACGAGTCGGAGAGAGAGAGATCAGCGAAGGAACAAGGAGCGTCATGCAGCTCAGTCGGAAAAAGAGGAGACGAATGATCAACTTCAACCATTGCATCTTCTGCCCATCAGAGCAAAACAACCAGAAGGGTCGTTGGGAGAAGATGCCAACGACGTTCCACATGAAAGTCAGGATGAGGACAACGGACGGGTGGATGTTGGGGCTCGCGAAGAAGAATACAAACAGGGTGTAGAAATGGCTAAGAACTACAAGGAACAACAATATCAAGAGGTTTGATTCATGCCATCTTGGTATGACTGCCTCAGGGCTTCAAAAGGTTCTGGGTTTTTAAATTTCTCCGGCGAGCTGTTCGGGAAACCTCTCCACAAGTTGGATGACTAGTGGAGCATGACGGGACATGCCTCCGTTATATAATATTCTCTCTTCAACTTTCAGCTGCTTTGCGCATGTGATAGAACTTGATTCCCTGTGATGCTACCCGACAACTTCGGCACGGTTGCTTCGTGGAATGCTTGGCATCCAAGTGACGATATCTACATGCACAAGGAGCTCACCGTAAGATATTTATTTCTAAGCCCAAGACCGTATGCCGTAATTTCGCAATCGCTTTACATTTTGATAGTGCCGAGCTAGAGTTAATACCAGTGGAGAGTGCCAAATTATCCCCTTCACTACGAAGCATGTTCACGCCGTCTTTTAGCGTTTTCTCATGTCACATATAACCTCAATGAATGATCTAAGGCGTTCGCATTATTCTCATCTCGAACTCAAGTCATAGCCTCCAGGTTCGTTGGATATTCCACCATTGTGCAAATCATTCGAAGGTGAATGGATTAGGGTTGGAAACGCCAACGATGGCTAGGCATACACACCTAGCCTTCTAGACAGTTCTGTCGTCGACTTACTAAACGCCTTGCTAAATCATCACCACCCTCACATAGCTCTCGACCGTCCACCTGAAATTATTGCCTGCTCATCACCGTGCCCATGGCTTACAACAGAATTGACTTAGCGTCCATCGTGCACCACGTATTTCTCCCGCCGAAATTACCCCCAGAGGCTGAACGCTACCCCGCCAACAGCGAGTTACTCCGAAAATTTCTTCGCTCACTTGATAATTACCATGAGTCCGTCCAGCTCCAGGAGCGCTCGGCCTGGGCGTCATGCGTTAGGATGATACAGGTTTTGCTAGACTTGCAGTATTCCGGCAGAACGTTCAATGCCAAAAGTTTGATTCTCAAACTCACGTCTTTGAGTGTCGGAGGCAAGTCGGTGCTACCCAGGTATTCTTCCAAGCTGCTAACTTTTACTAGATTCCCTAGCTCTCCATCTCCGAGAGCAAAACGCTGCTGCCTTAATCAAGAAGAATCAGGACGAGACCACGTTCTCCTTCTTCGAGTTATCCCCGTCAACCGAACGCGTCATGGCTTGCAAAACTCGACTACGACGTAGCTTCCCTGAAGCGTCAGACAGTATTGCCAACGCTGTCGTCGCTGATCCAGCTTTCCATGAGCCTTTCGCAGAAATGATGGTAGATCTAGACGAGAAAGTGCCGCCTCAAGCGGAACCAAAAACTCGCAAGGCAAATCAGGAAGTTCGGGAAATCCGACAGTCTGTGAATCCGTTCCTGGCCACGAACCACCTGCCTGGCATCTTACGGGCGATCGGAAAGGCAGCGCCTATCAATCGTATTGTGAAGCATACACGAGACGACGTCCCATGGAAGAATGCTGCTTCACCGTGGCGCAGATCGCCTCTTTGGCTTCTATTGCGCGTGGCTATCCAATTAACCTTGGCCCAGTCAGATCTCAAGAAATCAACCTACCACTATAAATCCTTTATGTTGTTCTTCATGAACGACGTTTTAGGATCGGCCATTAAAGAATCCTTACCAACTGAGACTCTATTCATCATGAAGACGAAGATTAGTCGGCGCGTCTTGAAAATGGGTCAACCGATTTCGAATAGCTTACAAGCAGGCATCCACTCAGCGCAAAACATTCTCGAAAGCAGGTGGAACAGCTTGCAAAGGGACAGAGACCTACACAAAATTTGGACGCCTTGGACAAGCTCGAATTGGAAGCCCTTGACTCATGAACAGACTACCTTGTCTCTACCTTCCCTCAAACCGTACGTTGAATCTCGTTCGTTAAGGCAACAACAACCATCGATCGGAAAAGACTCCAAACCTCGTAGTATACCTCGCGTGTGCCAATCCAAGAACCAGTTTCCGGACATTACGAAGTTTTCTACATTTGGGTTGTATGATAAAGACAATAAAAACGTCGTGCTTGCAGACGTGGAAGAATGGGTCAGGACGTTCCTCTTGTTATGGGTTCAGGAAAATATGAGCCTTCGGAAGTCAACTCGTAACATTGCAGATCTACTGAAGATTTACTGCGAAGAAGCATTATCCGCTTACCACGACGATCCCGTCATGATATCAACCATGTTTTTGACGGCCATGGAGTTGTGGATCGCGTTGGACATGTGCGCTCTCGAGCAACGCCCGGTTCTCTCGAAGTACGCGCCGGGATTTCCACCAGCCCTCTTAGAGCCGCTTCTCCTGCCCAGCAAGCACCAGATGGAACGTCTATGTTCAGTGGAGCGCTACCTATCCCAGCGGGACGGAACCGACGGCAAAAGCAGCCCGGTACACTTTCTTGACGTCGGCCCTCGAAGCCTGGCCGTACAAGTCTACGACACATCGACGAAACACCAGGAGCTCTATGATGCCATAGTGAAGGCCGCAGAAATTGCCCGAGACAAAAAGCTAGTACAGTTGGACACGCAACTTGCTAAGCACGAAGCCGTTTCCTCCCAGCTAGCCAGCGCAACTTGTTCGAAGGAATTGGTCTCCAACCAGGAGAACCATGATCAGATGTCTTGTACAAAGTGCTCTTTGGATAAGGAAATCAAGACACTATCGAGGATAGCAGTACACGAATGGCCCCTGCCCGCAGATGAGGTACAGGCTAAGCTGGTGGTGTTCGAGTTAATGGTCCCTGACGAGATTGAACAATGGAGAAGCACGACCTATTGGCTACAAACGGAGGTTTTTGCCCGTCCCACGGTGGTCGCCGAGATTCCGGAGGAGCTATTTTACCTCCATGATTTTGAGGGACTAGCTGGGCGTGGCAATATTAACAAAGAGCAAAGACTACAGCTTGCATCCACGGCAAAAGCCTTTGTTTTCGCTCACTATAAGGACGTGGAAATCCAATACGCTAACAAAAGCAGTGTGTTCGTAAATCACGCCATGAAGTACGGGATTTTCGACTCAATACGAAGCAAACTGCCCATCATGGCCGTTGAGAGATGCGATATCCGTTCGCGATGTGCTTTCCAGATCTCGGAGGGCCTCTACAGCACTCTGAGTGACACGCTCGAGTCAACGCTACATACCGTGAACGAGGTGTTATCCAGACAGTCACAGTGCTCTGCGTCTTTGAACACCGACGAGTTCTATGCGTTTGGAGCTCTGCGAGCAGGCCACCGCATCCAATGGCTCAATATAGCTAACGAGCTTGTTTCTCAAGTCCTATCGTTTGGTCGACAAGAAGTATGTGATTTGGTGCTCCAGGCTTGTTGGCAGGCTGGGCCGGCAGAAGTCGGCAACTCCAACCTTATTCTTAGGGAATCTCACCAGGTGCTTCAAGGGGGCCACGTGAGTATCGAAATACTATCAGGACTGGAGGACTGTTTTTCCAACATTGAAAAGAATTGGGAAGGCACGACTGCAGCCCGGCTCTTCGCAGCACTTGCAGCACGCCTTCTTTCTCTCAATACTCGCCCGGAGATTCAGACGCAGTGTTTCGCTTTCCTCCGCAGAGTCCGTAATGCTCTCCTGATTTGGATGAGGAAAATTTGCGAGAAGGTCCAAGGAAGTCAAACGGAGGCCGAGCGCACAGATCTCCGAGAGCGATTGTTAGAAGCAGCTTTAGTTGCTCATTCTACCTTTCAAGTAGACGAATATCACGTTGAAAAACTGTTAACCTCTCAAGAAGACGTGGCTCATTACCTGGCAATCATAATCTCGATTCGAGAGAACTATCCAGCGGCGGAGAGCGATATCCCGTGCCCCCTCCGTCTACTGTTACAAGAGTCTTCCAGGCTGTGTCATAGACTTGAAACCGTGGTCAGACGCTTGGTTTTGGACGATCATTCAAGCCTAGACCTTGCTATAGGGAGCGTGTGGGATAATTATCCAGCCGGCGGTGTATGGAAGTCCGTCGATGCGCTAAACGAACGGTGGCTTTCAAGGAAAATACTTCCTGGAGCTGCCTGTGTATCCAGAGACGTCTATTTTAACGTACTGACTGGAGAAGTTCTTGTCAACGGTCGGCCTATCTCCAGACTTCCTTCGAATTTTGAATCGCACGCAACTTTCAAGAGGCTGTTCCAGGGTAGGATATTGTATGTATCTCCATCAGGAATGGATGGTATGGACTTCAAGATCCGAAGCCTAGTTCATGGCCAGCATATTCACCTTGGAATGCACGACTCGGAATTAATCGTTCGAGCATACCAGGACGATGGTCGCGCACATCCGAATGATGGGTCATATCTAGAGCTCGTTCCGATAGATGCTCTCGGAAGAGATGTCCCTAAAACCTTCGTCGATGAATATGTGCATTGGCTTCATTCGAACTCACTGGTGTTACAATTCCGTCCTCTGTTGTCCCCTTGGATACCGCCGCGGCAGCCGTGGCAGATCCGCCTGAACCGTGAAGACGCTGTCAACCACCAGGATTTGTATAGGTTGAGAAAGGGATACATGGCGCTCATGGAATCCACAGGCCTCACTGGACGCGCGATCACCTCGTTGCTCTCTCCGTTGGAGAACGAGGAACATATTCACATTATGATCCACGAAACAACATCGGCTATTTCGGTCCAACTCCCACGACTTAACCTGGATTTTGTTCTGGGGGTAGACCTGTTGTCTCTGGAGTCCAAACAATTTCGAGGCATGCGCGTTGATCCGAACCAAGCGGTGGGCACTATGACAGGTCTTAAGAACAAGCTTGTTCTTAGCACACTGGACAATGCCGAGCGGTGCATGGTCGTCCCTTTTGGGACCGTCAGATTCGCCAAAAACGGTGATCACGTCCATGTTACCATCGACACCGGTGCAGAGCCTCAAGTCCCGTACTATGTCTACCAGGTTGATGAGGTACTTGGAAGGTTGACTGGAGATAACAGCCTGAAGAGTAATCTTTACATGATCTATCTCCACGCGGTTACCTCTTATTGCCTGCCAGATAACTTGACTGGGAAAACTGGAACAGAGACAGCTCTGGATGGCATTCGTAGTGCCTCGGTTCGATCGCATGGGACACTTTCCCCTGATGATCTCAGCCTCCTTTCTTCAATCGCACATCTAACACCACAACGAACGTGGTATCCGAAAGGCAGAAAGACCATGCAGTGTACGAATTGGGCCAATCTTCCTTCACTCTCCCAGCATAGCGGGTTTTACGGGGAGGTTCAAAAGGTTATCCGACATTATCGAAAGTTTGACGTGTTCCGGGAGCATATCCCATCGAGTCCAGCATCAGAGGCGCCTCTAGTAGAGGAGCTTCTTCAGAGAGCCATCATTCGCGATTCCGTCTGGCGCCTTGATGGCTATGGAGCTGAATTCTACACCACTCAGTTCGACGAAGAGTACGTGGATCGAGATGGTAATTTTGACACCCAGCGCGAGCTTCGTGCATACTCGGCCGCCAAGTTGGCGTCCAGTTGGGAAATTGAACAAAACTCAAACTTTGACTTGTGGTCGATCATACAGAAAAATTTCCATCATCCTGTAGACCAGGAAACCCAAGTCAAGTTAATTGATCGTTTGGGATATGACCCAACTTGGCTTAAACCGGCATCTGAGTTCCTACCGGAGTGTTTCCTCTCTCTTCATCGACGCCTGAAATCTGCAGACGAGACAAAGGATAAGTATAGGCTGATGTTCTTGGCTGCTACGCTGGTGGCCTGTGAAGAAAATACTGAGGAGCTCGTCAAAGCCCTCATCGGGTTTGTGACGAACTCACAAGTACGACAGTTACCACCGATTCCAAGTTTGTACCGGTCTTTCGATCTTTGCAAGGGTTTCGAGCCAACGGTTGAGCTGATTGAGCCGATAGCTGAGCGGCACTCGCTCTCGCGTGACCGATGCTTAGAGAGTAAAATAAAACCGCTGCCTAACGAGACCAAGAAACAGGTCAAAAAGCGTCGTCAAGACCAGTTCAAAGCCAACGTGTCTATCCAAGCTAGGTCGTTTGCGGAGCTGGTAGTTGGGCAGTTCAATCAGGCATTCAACAAGGACTCCGCACTTGACGTACCACACGATGGCAATGCGATTAGGACCTACATCAACGTCGAAGCTGCCGTTGTCGAAACCAAGCAGTTGTTTATGCAACATACTCAGAATGTGAAGTTTCGGCGGTATATCGAGAACGCGACTCGTATTACCAGTCAAACCCTTCCCGTGGCGATCAAACACGAGGAGCGCAAACCTCGAAGCAACGGCGTTGAGAACACACCGCAATCAGGATTCATCAAGCTTAGCAAACTTTTCCAAATGCGAGCCCCAAGCATCGAAGAGTCTCCAACAGTCGTCGACTTTCGTAAATGGTTGCGAGATCAACCCTTGAAGGGAAAAGATAACGTAGAAGCCTTGCTCCAGCGGCTCGATATGGGGGAGAAGGATGTAATTGAACAGAGTTACGTCCAAGATCTTCGAAAGAGCTTGAAGGCCTTAAAGGATTCCAAGCCCCTCCCAGGCCTCAGCCTCTCTTTGGATGGCTTACATGATGCTATCGAGGCACATGTAAAGCTTTGCGAGCAACGGTCTAATGCTATTTACGTCCAAATCTGCGATGCCTTGAGGGACGCAATCGAAGAATCACATGCCTTTGACGTCCTTGGCGAGCTCACGCCGCGAACATCTCCTTTGTCGTTACTACACAACCTCACTTTTCAAAAGCTAGCTAGCGTGTCGGTTCAGTGGAAGATTACTCTGGTGCAGTATGGCGTCGCACTAAGCGACCTTCAACGCGCGCGCCGGTTACGCACAGCATTCAAATATCGCCAAGGAAACCCAGTAGCGCTTCTGAAGGAACTAACTAATGCTGGCCACGATAATTGGGATCCCGTTAAGAACCCAGATTGGCTGCTTCTTGAGTTAGAGAACAACATCATCATCCGCAGTGAGCAGGTGCAAACCGGCCACGCCATGATTGACCCAGAGGATCTCAAGAACACTATTCTGCAACTCAATATGGGTGCTGGCAAATCTTCTGTCATCGTTCCTATCGTTGCAGCCGCTCTTGCCAATGGGCGAAGATTGACGAGGGTTGTGGTGCTGAAGCAATTAGCTCCTGAGATGCACCGCACGCTCATAGCGAAATGCAGCGGCATGCTGAACCGTCCTATCTATCTCATGCCATTTTCGCGTTCTCTGAAGATCTCGAAGAAGCAAGCCGATGGAATTTTGGCGTTGTATGAGGAGTGCATGGCCGCGGGTGGCATTCTCCTCACCCAGCCTGAGCATATTCTTTCGGCAAGACTGATGGGATACGAGAAAATCGTGTCAGAGCGTTCGGAAAAGAAAAACGCCGCTCAAAAGTTGATCAGGATGCAGCACTGGCTGAGCCAGCACGCCCGCGACATTCTCGATGAGAGTGATGAGCTTTTAAGTCCGGTGTTTGAGCTCGTATATACCATTGGTGGCGAACAATTAATTGACTGGAGCCCCGAGAGGTGGTGTTTCATCCAAAAAGTCTTAGGGCGGCTCTCCGTACTGGCCGCTGAGACTAAAAGCATCCACCCAGAGGGCATTCGCATGGAGAATAAGCACAATCCCGGGAGCTTTCCGCATATACAGGTTCTTCTGACAGATGCCAGCGAGATGATCTTGAAGAATCTAGCTAATGAATTCTGCACGGAATGGTCGAAAGACTTCGCACTCCCGGATGACACTCGGAAAGAGCTATATTTGTTCCTCACAACCTTCATAATACAGGAGAAGGATGTTGCGAATCTGCATGAGATGAGAGAGAAACGCAAAATAGGGGACCACGTGTGGAACACTATGCTCATTCTTCGTGGATTGATAGCAGGCGGCACGATGAAGTTCGCATTTCAAGACAAGCGCTGGCGGGTCCATTACGGCCTCGACCTGACTCGATCCCGCCTGGCGGTGCCCTTCAGAGCGAAGGATGTACCATCTTCGCGGGCTGAATACAGCCATCCTGATTTAGCAATCGTCCTAACATGTCTGTGCTATTACTATAAAGGCTTCTCCAATGACGAACTAACGAAGACGCTTCGCCATTTGAAGCGCAGCGACAACTCACAGCACACGTATGAAGGGTGGCTTGCGAAAGCTAAAGACATGCCATCGTCTTTCCGCAACATTCAAAGCGTAAATCTCCAGGACACGGCGGTCTGCGACGGCGAGGTGTTCCCTCATTTACGATTCACGAAAGCCGTGATAGACTACTACTTGGCCAATTTGGTGTTTTCTGCCCAGATGCGGGAATTCCCTTTCAAGCTTTCGGCGTCCGGCTGGGACATCGCCCAGGTCAGGACAAACCCTACTACAGGGTTCAGCGGGACCAAGGACTCCAAGCATACTCTGCCATCGACCATCAAGCAGGCAGAGCTGGACGCGCAGTTGCATACCAACGCAACCGTGCTGAATGATCTACTAGGCGCTAAAAACACGTATCAAGACATTCCCCACAACCAAGATCAGAGCCTCAACGCTGACGTTCTGCTAACAATGGTGATCGGCCAAAGCCCGCCCGTGCGAGTCATCCTCGACGTAGGAGCACAAGTGCTCGACCTTCGAAATCAGGACGTTGCGCAGTTGTGGTTGGACAAGACGACGAATGAGGATGCGAAAGCTGTCATTTTCGTAACAGAGCAAGATTCAATCGCAGTTCTTGATCGTGCTGGCACCTTGGAGGCGCTCGCAGTCTCCCCATGGCTACGCCAAATGGATCAATGCTTTGTCTACCTTGACCAAGCTCATACTCGAGGCACGGATCTTAAGCTCCCAATCAACTACAGAGCGGCAGTGACTCTTGGCCCTCTTTTGACCAAAGATCGTCTGGTTCAGGCGTGTATGCGGATGAGAAACCTTGGCAAAGGCCAGTCCGTGGTTGCTTGTGCTTCTAAGGAGATCGAGAAGCAAATCAAGAATTCCTGCAACAAGGAACTGGACGACAAGATCACCATGCTCGATGTTGTTGAGTGGTGTATTCGAAACACTTGCATACAAATTCGAAAGGAACTGCCAATGTGGGCCCAGCAGGGCGAACGTTACACGCTCCAACAGAACAAGCTTAACATGGCGCCTGCAGGTGTTACCAGTACACTAGCAAAGTCGGTGGTAGAGGAACTGAAAGAAAGAGAAGCGCAGACCTTGGATATGCGATATGGAATCAATTCTCCTAGTTTGCACCAAGCGTTGCGATTCCATCTCCCGCAAGACAACGCACAACAGTCCCATGTTGTTGCGGACAATACCCCAGCGTCGATATCGAAGAAAGTCAAGCTGTCCAAAGATACGGAAGCAATCGCTTCTAGATGTCAGGAGTTCAACATCAACCCGTACGAAGGCCCGGCATTACAAGAGGAGCACGAACGCGAGTTATGTCCAGAAAACGAACGTGAGCAACAAGTGGAGCGACCACGTCCGATGAAGCCGTTCTTACACGTCACCCACGTCGCGATCAAGGCGTTTGCTCAGACCGGTCAATGGGGCGACTTGAAAAGCGAAGCCGTACTCCCCGCATTTCGCACCCTAAAAGCCACAAGTGCTGGCAAATATCTCCAACCGAACGAGTGGCCTCAAGATCTCCTGGTGTCCAGAGACTTTGCCCAAACCGTGCAAAACCCAGGGGGGCAGGTGGTCGACGCCTACCTTAAGCCAGTCAATTGGGTACTCAGCCGACAAACCGATAACGGAACGTCGCTCAAACAGTGGGAAGTTGTGATAATCAGCCCTGCAGAAGCCAACGAGCTGCTCCCAATCATCATGGAGCACAAGATCGTTACACTTCACGTTTACTCGCCGCGCACTCGGCAGTCAATGCGGTCGCTCGACAACTTATCGTTTTGTGTCATTCCACAAGTTGAAGTCAAAGCTGTCCCAAGCCTGCTGGTCACACAGCTGAATCTGTTTGCGGGGCAGCTGTATCAAAACGACGACGAAGCAAACAAGATATTGTGCGAGTTCTTGGGCCTTTGGCATGGGGATTTATTGGCAGAAAGTGACGGTTTCATGAAGAAGAATTACAGGCATACTCTGGGTATTGATGGGAGCTGTCCCTTCACTGTCTCGCCTAGGAACTTCGTAAAAGAGTGGCTGAGCGTCCGTAGGAAAGGTCATAGTTACGAAAGGACGCACATGGGTGCACTGGTGGTATTGGGAAGGGCGCTGACTGGAAGCGACTTTGAGTCTTAGGGGAAGGCGGAGAGATTGAGGGAGTTGGCGACTTGAGATTGACGTTGTGTTCATCGGCATGTGTCCATCGGGTTGCTTGATTTCGAGATGTTGAAGCAAATACGAACGCTCAGACCTTGTAGTTGACGGCACTGCGTGGAGTTACATAGTAGCCGAATAGACTTTCACCCTAACGTCCTGTAAGGCCACAGAAAACATTCCTGAAGAATCCCCTCGCCTCTTACCCTACAGCCCAAATAACACCCTACCGCAACCTCCCACCCTTACCTGTGCCCCCCTCACCAATTCGCCCAACGCCCCCCAAGCACCTGCTGCGCAATCGACCCACACCTATCCGTACCCTCGTGAATCAGCCCCTCCTCAGCAGCCTCGGCCGCCCACATCGCATACTCAATCCGCCCGTTTACCACCTGCGGATCCTTCCCCTTTATCCCAATATCCGCGTCCTTAGTTTTTTCGAGCGACTTCGCCATCTACCTCGCAATCTCAGCAAGCGACCGAGCCTGCGGCCTCCATTTCCTCACCGCTTGTTCCTCCAGCGCGACTAGGCGGTCCAGGTTCGAGAACACATTCCCATGGTGCAACGAGTTTGGCGCTTCACCAAACAGCCGGGTGGCGACCTCCGTTGTGCAATGCCGACGGCAACGTTCATCAAAAGGAGGAGTGACGGTGGCGATTCGGGCGCTCGGGGGCGCGTTGGCCCTCGCCGCGCCGTTGTGGTTGCAGGTGACGGCGCGGCCGCGGGCCAGTGGGCGGAGGTTGTATGCGGGGGCGTCTTGCATCTCACATTGGATGCTCTGCATGAAGCTGGCAGCTTCTGTGTCGGCGATGGGTGGGGAGGGCTTCGAGCTGATCTGGAGTGCGGCGATGTCGGGCATGGGGACGGAGACATCACTCATGAAGCTGAAGGGGTCGATGTCGTCTTCGGCGGGGATGAATCGTCTACTATCGTTGTTTTCATTGTTGTTTTCTTGCGGGTGTTCGTGAGTTTGGGTAGATGTGCTGCTTGTGGGAGGGAGGGCACCGGACGCGGGGTTGGTTGCGGCTGGTAGTTGGGATGCAGGCTGTAGGGATTAATTAACATGTGGGCGACTCTTTGAAGATGGAATAGAACTTACAACTGCATCTGGCTTGTCGTCATTGGAGTCGTGTTTATCCCTGGGTAGGTTCCCGAAGGGATTTGCTGGGGTAGGATTGGCTTGCCTTCCGTCTTTGGGCTGACAGCCTCCCCGCTTCGCTCTCGTGGTGCGTACCATGTTGACCTGACGTTAGGAGTGAACACGAGGACCAAGCACATGAGATAGAAGAGCCCACTGATTGCGAGGTGTGGCAGCTGTTGAGTGGAAAATGTTAAAGTTGCGGCGCAGCGAAAGGGCCGCGAGCGTTTTACAGGAAAACAAAACACTGTGAAAGGTGAATGACAAAAGGCTCTCTTTGTGCTTCGATGCCGGGCAACACATTAGATGTGTCCTTTCATGTGGGATACATATTTCTCACATGTCTTTTATACTATTCACAGGGTCTAGACGTCTGATTAGGTAGGAGTAAGACTACTTAGAGTATCCTAAGGGAAACTTCCGGATCTTCTCCCCGGCCGTTTGGCCACAGAAGCCATTCGCAAGATATTTTCCAGAGGTGTCATCTGGTATAGCTAGCGCACCTATGACGTGGGGAGGGCTCGAGTTTGCTATCTAAATGATTAAGTAAAGCCGAGGGAGAAGGAGAAGAAGGTAGATCAGTCGATTTCCTCAATGGCAACATCAAACATTCGGACTGATGTAGGCACGATCGACTTTTACGACTCCTAATGAAGGACTCTAGATGATCAGCTAAAGCACATCTTCAGTCAGTGGGGTGTGAGGATTGACAATTAGTTCCACATGAAAGCGGAAATGACACAAAGCTTCTTAGAAGAGAAAACACTGCATGTACTGTAGAACGTCTTTAAGATTGGATTGGAATATCAGACACGTATGTGTACCCATGTGCCAAAGATCGTAATTACCTGAGTTGACTTCAGGGCCACCAAGAGCTGCATCGAGAGGGACCATGTTATCTACACACGCTCAATATGCTTGGTGGTCGAACCTCCGGGCCCGGAAACACTCTTCCTCTTCTTCCTACTCTTCTCTCTCGTTTGATCAATACTCTGCGCGAACTTCGACTTCGCTCTGATCTCCGGACCCTTGCGATAGAAGACGTAGATTGGAATTGTGACCACGACAGAGATGCAAGCCAGAATGGTGCTGGCATACTCAAGCGGTCTGCCCGGAATGTTTGTATACATTGGCGTACTGTACAACGCCGCGATACCAGCTAGAAAGTCTCTTGCAAGGTCGTTACCTCCTGTAGCACTGGCAGCGTATGGCCCATAAGCGGCGGTCATATAGTCGATGCTACTTTGGTAAATTGCGTAGTTTGCAATACCAACCATGGTAGAAAAAATCATAGTAGCGATCCAAGGGATCCCGTAAGAAGGCCCGAGCGAGGTCCATGCGAAGCCGAAAAGGCCGATTGCCTCGAGAGGTGCGAGGAATAGGAGCCACCATAGGCGTACTTCGGGTTTGAGGCGGTCGGGGTCGCGGCGACGAATCTTGCGGAAGTGGTGAATGGAGGGCAAATAGGAGAAGTAAGCTAGGATATAGCCAACAAGGAGACTACATGAGCAGTGATGGTTAGCGAACGAAGGTTGAAAGTAGGAAATAAGGATAGATTTGCCTACGGGATGAAGGCCAGACTTATGCCGACAGTGCCAAAGCCCCATTGCTTGTATACTGGCTGGAAGGACTGGAGAAACGTGAAAATAAGCGCGTCGCTAAAGCCACTGAGTAGCGAGAGCCAGAGCACAATCGGCTCGGTGAAGAACATGTCTACACACATCAGTATATTGCTTGGAATCTGGACTGGGGAGGAGGCTCACAGAAAGGGCGATAGAAGATAGTCCAAAACTCTTTAGGCGAAAGCTTGCTCCCGAGGATTTCATTCGGCCCATAGATGTTCGGATCTTCCCCGGTCTTGCGTCTCCGCTTAGCTTCACGGTCGAGAAGGATCGTCGCACGCGTTTCGGGATTGAGTACGAGATGGACTAGCTGCACTCCTCCGCCGACAAGAAGCTGGGTCCAGAAAATCCATGGAAGGGACTTGTATTGCTGAACGAAGCCGCCGATGATAGCGCCGACGACTGAGCCACCGACAGAAGAGAGAACGAGGAACGCGACAGCGTATTCTTGGTCATCGGGCTCCCACATGTCTGCAAGGACTCCGAGGGTCACGGATCCGCCAGCAGTTGAAAGACCACCAAGGAAGCGACAAATGACATAGGTGCCGTAGTGCTTCGATATTGCGCAGGCTGATCACACGTGGTATCAGCAACGTAGGCAAAGGAAGGCGATTGAATTAATGGGGAGTTCTCACGGATTTGCCAGATGTTGACGAGGAATAAGCTGAGCTGCTGGATTGGCCAGCGCCCATACTCTTCGCTCCACGGAGCCCATAGTTCACATCCGAACGCGTATGCTACCAGGAACGTCATCTGCGGGATTCGTGCGACCTGCTGACTGACGCCGAAGTTTTCGGAAATGCTATCGACAGCATTGGCATACATGCTGGCATTGAGATTCATGGAGATTTGGATCAAGAAGACGACGCAGAGAATCTGCCATTTCCGCCACGTTGGAAAGCTGTAACCAAGCTTGTCCCAGGCATCGGAGTCTTGGAGCTCGACTCGATCATCTTTGACGATGCGATCTGCTCCTTTTTCCTGGACAACCTCACCTTCAACATATCTGTGCTCGCTTTCTGTTTCGGGGACCGCAGTGGCCATGGCGCATTGAAAAAAACAAGGCTTTGCGAAAGTGATGGAGAGAGATAGAAGTAGATCTCTTAGACCAGACAGAGGTACAGTATGGAGGTTCATACAACACCATACACGGACGAGACACTTCGAGAAAGCGGAAAAGGTTCTGAGACGTGATAGAAGCAAACTTTATCTGGTACCGTATCCCACCATTATGGATATGGGGACGACGTCAACGGCGTGGCGGGCGTTTCTCCCGAAGCCTTACAGGCTTACTTCTTTGTCTCTGCCGCGAGCAGACAGCGCCGATCGCTCGCGGTTAGCCATTAAGCGCCCAGCTTCTAAGGCTCGCCAACAAAGCCAAGACTACGCGGGGCCGAATGCCCATGCAGAGAAGAGCATATGCGATGTCATCGACATCGACGGTTCGAAAGGCGCATTCCCCTTGTGCTAAGCGAATCTTCTTGGCCTTGCGTCATGATCATCGCTCTGTCTTGTGATGCCGCATAACGCGGCCTTCACGAGCTTCCAAAGGCGACTTGAAGACATTCGTCGACGATTTTGAGATGGATTGGCTTTTGAGTGAATGTTGTACGGCAGAAGGAGGTTGGGGTAAGGTTTCGTCCGACGTCGTGGCAGACCCACTTGGCGCTGCGATCTCCCAGCGATTTTCTGTGGGGCGTGATTTCGCCCACGTGAGACCGCGATGACGACGTCCCTCCATCCCAGGTTCAACACCACCCCATCGACGCGTAACGCCTCCATCTACCCTCGAGATACTTCGTCGCATACGAGTGCCGACTCGATCCTTCACTCTGTACGGCTTTCCTCTCGGCGCCCACCATGGCCGACCGGCCGTCGACGCCACCTCGAGGTGGCGCTCGCCCGCAGGCTCCCATGACGCCTGAACAAGTGCGGCGCATGGTACGGAACATACTCCTTTGGCCTATATCCCCATGTGCATGACTGTATCTAACAGCCCTCAGGAAGAAGCGCGTCTGAAAGCCAAAGCTCTCCGAACTGCCGCCGACGCTGCGAAACCTCCACCTGCCCTGAGCAAAACCGCCCCCGCAAGCCTCAAGCGCGCCCACTCCTCCATATCCTCCTCCACAGTTCCTCCGACCCTTCGCGATGCCTCCAAGATCACACAACCTTCCGATCCCACTCTCCAGCCGGCCAAGAAATTCGCCCGCGATGCCTACATCGAATATGACTTTAGCAAGATGACAGATACAAAGGGCGGTTTCCTTTCGAAAGAAGACGATCCACACAACCGTGCCATGCGATCGGGGAGGCGAGAGGAAGAGAAAGAAGAGAAGCCGGCGCATATGACATTAGCGGAGTGGGAACGGCATCAAACGATCAAGAAGCTGCGGGCGGCACGGCAAGGGCCGTTTGAGCCCGGGATCAGCGTGCTGAATCTGGATAATAGTGCAAAAGATGGCAAGGACCAATGTAGAGAATGCGGGAGTCTGGAGATCGACTGGAAATGGGAAGAAGTCTTCGGAGTCAGCGTTTGCGCGCGGTGTAAAGAGACCATACCGGAGAAGTACAGCTTACTCACGAAGACGGAGGCGAGGGAAGATTATCTATTGACGGATCCTGAACTCAAAGACGAAGAACTCCTCCCGCATCTTTCTCGGCCGAATCCCCACAAATCCTCTTTCCACGACATGCAGCTCTTCCTGCGTTTTCAGGTGGAAGACTACGCCTTCAGCCCGAAGAAGTGGGGCTCTCCCGAGAATCTCGATGCGGAGTTCGAGAAGCGGCAGACCGTATCCAAAGCCCGCAAAGAGAAAAAATTCAACTCGAAGCTGGCTGATTTGAAGAAGCGCACCCGCGTGGAAGCATACAAGCGGAGTAAGCTTGCGGCAGCGCGTGGTGAGGGGGGCCGCGAAGCGCAATTCGGCGACAAGGTCACAAGGTATGGCGAGCGGCATGAGCATGAGTGGGGTAGAGCTGTGCTGGATCCGGAGAGTGGAATGAGCAAAAAAACGTGTGTGGATTGTGGCATGGAGATTGAGGAACTGGAGTTTTAATGCTAATGAATGATGTCTAATCCTCCTACGTGATTCGCATCCTGCGGCTTGTCACGTTGAACCTTGAAGCCAGGTCGCATCTGTGACCGCCTCTGACGGCGGCACTATAGTAGCGATCGCAATCTCCACCTCGTCCGGTTTGCAACGCTGAAATCGATAGGTACGTAAACATCTAGTAAGCTAGTGTACTTCTTTCAAGACCATGTCGATCTCTCAAATGTTGATTCTCTACCATATTCAAGTTTTTGGAACTAACGTCCTGCACGAAGGTGGTCCGCTTCAGGCCCCCATCTCGCCACAGATACTGTATCAAACTCTCCTATAACATCCCCAATACCCCCCAACACTACCAACAACCCCCTCAGAACCCCACCCCACGCTGCCTTTCAGTCCTCACTCCCTCCCCACCCCCACCACCAACCTCCACTTCGTCCTCCCCTCCACCTGCCTCACAACCCCCCCACACTCCTCCGTCCACTCATGGAACAGCCCCGCATGCGCCGCTCTAACCGCCCACCGCGCCCACGCAATCCGCCCATCAACCGCCTCGGGGTCCATCCCCTGCCGCTCGATCTCGACAGTCCGGTCGTCTTCCAGCGCGATGACCATATCCGTCGCGATATCCACCAGCGAGCGCTGCGTGGGCTTCTGGGCCTCGAGGGCGACCACGCGGTCTAGGCTCGACAGGACTTCGGTGTGGAGGCCGCTCTTGGGTGGGGATTGGCGGAAGAGGGCTGCGGCGATGGCGGGGGTGCAGTGGTGCGGGCAGGGCGGGGCGCTTAGAAGGGGGAGGGGTTGCGGTCCGAGAGGGGTGATGGGGGAGACTGGGGGCCTCTGGGGGAGATTTGTCGGGGGTTGGAGGCGTTGCGCACTGACTGGTGTGATAGGGGAGACTGGTGGCCGTGGAGGCAGGTTTGTAAGGGCGTCGATGTGCTGGGTGGAGTTGGCGCCGTTGCTGTGAGGGATCACGGTGGGCTCGTCTTTGGCATGCTGCAGAGCTGCCTCGCCGGTGGGCGCTCTCGGTGTGGCGTCGGCGTCGGCGCCGTGCGGCTCTTCGTGGGGAGGCGAGGGGGTTTTCTGAAGGCGGAGTCTTGAGATGTCGGGCATTTCGAAGGATATGTCTTCTATGAAGGGGTGGGGTGGGCTCCGCTGGGTGGCTGGGATGGTCGTTTCTCCGGGGTTATCTTTGTTTTCTGCGGCTTGGCCCGTAGTGTGCCCATGCTGCTGTGTTGAAATGGTAGCATTATGGGGTCCTTGGAAAGGAGCAGCATTGCCGAAGCTTGGTACGGGAAGCGTATCAGGATGTGGTGGAATATGGCTGTAGTCTACCGGCTTTGGCGGTCTCGGTGTCCGCACCTGTTTTCCCTTTTTCTTAGGCGTCTTACCGCCTGCGCCGCGCCGAGGAGTGTTTGCTGGCATGCTGTGGTAGTGGAGAGGGGTGGTTGCAGTGCAGGAATAGTTCCAATTTGGAAGTGGTGCAGTAACGTCTATCCATGCGGGGCGAAAAACTACCTGCGCCGAAAAATATGAGGGGTACTTTGACTTCAAGTAAGTGAAGCTCGGCGCACACGTCAATATTTGCTAATTTTCTATATAAGCTGTATGCTGTGGCAATTTCTAAACATATAAAACCTTTTATCGCTATAACTTAGGTTTACATCGTCGCATTCGCGCCCAATCTGCAGAGTGCCTTATCTTATAGTATAACAGTATCCCTTCCCTACAGAATCATTATTAGCTCTTACCGTTCCACGATACTTACAGATAGTCTTATCGAAGCCCCTGACACTTACCATAATGGCGAAAAGTTATTACTAACCTTATGCCTACTATGGAGCGCAGAGTTAGACAAGGTCGCTATCCCGCTCGGTACTTCTAACCAGCACAGGTTCCAATTACGGCTAGCCTACGGCGATCCGACCGACATAGATTACTTATGTCATCGAGCAGGCCAGGCTTGTGGCTGTTAGGTATATAGCTGTGCAGACGCTCGGACTAACTTACGGAGTTGTTAGCAATGACACTGATAACTGGTATACATCTCGAAGTAGTATCTGCTCTTATAGCTCCTTACAAACCGGCGAAGAACCCATATTACAGTAGGATAGCCTTAGTTAGGTTTAACGGTTTTTCATTCGCAAAGCGTTAATAGTCCTGCCTCGGCTAGTCTATATAACGACAAATTCAACACGTGCTCTACGTTTGATAGCGACAGTGACCTAGTAAATATATAGGACTAATTAACTTATACCCAGCCTAGCTTCGGTGGCACGTTCTCTAATTGCGACGCTATGTAGATGCTCTGCCTTCCATCGCTCTAAAGTAGCTAAAGAAGACCTTAAGTGGGGATGGTTAGGCTTGAAGACATGCTGGCAGAGTCGAACACACTCTGTTAGTAGATATAGCGCTTCAGCAACCTTACCCTGTTCTTTCCATGTTATGGCAAGATTATTCATGCTGGTTAGCGTGTCTGGATGATCGGCTCCTAGCTTCTTCTTGCGAGTCTCCATCACTTGCACAAACAGCTCTTCCGCTGCATCCCACCGGCCTTGATTCCGGTAAGTCGACGCCAGATTGGCCATGCTGGTCAGCGTGGAAGGATGGTCGGCTCCCAGCTTCTTCTCGCGAGTCTCCATCACTTGCACCTCCAGCTCTTCCGCTGCATCCCATTGGCCTCCAAGCTTGTATGCTGATCCTACCATCCCCATACTCCACAGCGTGTCCTCGTGCTCTTGGCCTAGTACTCTGCTTCTTACTTTCATCGACTTCAAAGCAAACTCCTTAGCGTCAGGAATATTGCCTGTCCCCTCTGCATACCATGCTGCACGATACAGCAGTGTGGCCCATTCTGCTAGTGACGATTCTCCTTCTGGCCGCTGCCCTACAGCCGACTTGGCGTGCGCGAAAAGTGCCTGACATGCTACCCAATTCTCATACTGTCCTGTGGGAAACGCTGCGCAAAGGTTGCTGATAAAGTGCTGCTTCCACTGCTCGAGCATGCCGTTGGAGTCAAGCCACTTCCGTGTAGCCAACTGCACTAGTGCGTGCATCTCAAAGCTTGTCCCATCAATGTTGACAGAGATAAGGCAGAAGTTTCGCAGCGCCACCACATCCTCTTCAAACTCGTCCTCGCTTAATTCGTCCTCGCTTGTGCTAGACTGCGATGTATCATCTTCTTCGTGGCTGTCTATATCTTCCTCCGTTTGGTCCTGCCGATTGAGCTGAGCGCCTCGCTGCACGGCTCGACTCCGCAGCACACTCTCGGGGATCCCCTGCCGGTCGAAGAAGCTCATCAACGAGAGCAGGTCCGCTGCTGACGGCCGTGTCTGCAGTATATGCTCGAACGAAATTTGCCATGTGACGATAATGCAACTTTTCGCCTCCCAGTCTCGCCGGAGTTGGCCCTTGTCATGGTTGAGAAGGCTCGTTCGCTTGCGCTCGCTCCTGCTAAACTCATCGAGGTATTTTACCACCGAGCATCGAGGCGCTTCCTCCGAGATGTATGCCGCCGCTTGCACAATAGCTAGCGGCATGTACTCAAGCGCCGCTACAAGCTTGGCAATATCACTGTCATCTCCCTGTACTCCTAGCTTCTTCTTAAACAGCGCCTGCGCCTGCGCCTCGTCCATCGGCTCCACAGTGATGACGTCGCGCCGCTCAACCAGCTTCAATGCTGCATCCATGTTCCGTGTCGTTACGATGATCGAGCCGCGCTCGCAGTGGGGGAGATACTCGCGCAGCGGTCGGGAAGCGGTTCTCGAGTCGTCAGTAGGCTGCTGCCCTTGGCCGTCAGCCTGGACATGTAGAAGGAAGCGCGCATCGTCTACGTTGTCGAGGATGAGCAACCACGGGTCCTTGCAATCGCGCAGCCAGTCGTGTACCAGCTTGAAAATGTTGGCTCGCAGGTTCTGTCGCCCAGCCATCTTAACACAGTCGGCGATGTCGCGATAACTCTGCTCAAACCGGGCCGCGTTGCTGGCATGCACCCAGAACACCCACGTATTATGCGGCCGCTCGTGCGTACGATAGGCATGCTCAATAGCAAGCTGCGACTTGCTGCTCTAATGTCAGCGTGTGCTGTGTCGATACTGTGCTCCACGTACCCAACGCCGCCTAGACCAACGAGCGCGGCCCGTGCACAAGAAGCGGCGCTTAGTTGATAGAGGTGGTCGAGTGTCGTTCCTCGCTCGACAAAGTCGGCGTCGCGGGCAAAGGGTATCACGATTGATGGGCGTGGTGGAGTCTCTGGTCGCTCTTAAGGCGGGGTCTGTTAGTCTAGTGCTCGCTCGGGCCCTGCAGACTTTAGGCGGTCCCACAACTCACCAGGTGGAAGGTAGAACTCAACCGCGCCGTTGATGATGCCGGCTTGGAAGCCTTTGTTTTTATCGCCGAAGGATATTGCGGATGCCATGATACTTGTAGCAGGAGTGCGGTAATCTGCAGTGGTGTCTCTCGCAAAGCCTCAGCTGGACCTCAGCCTGGCGGTTCTCCTGCGCTCGTGCATTCGCGCTTAGCCCCATTGGACCGTCTTGGTAAAGCCGTGCATGTACGCTTCAGCTTCAACCAGTATCCTTTTCGTCTTCTTAGTCTGACATCTACTATATCGTCTGCCTCTCCGACTTACTTTTTGATCGTTATCACATAAAACATGCCTGATCCTCTTAGCATCACCACTGGTGTCGTGGGTATTACTGTCCCAGCCTTACATGGCATACGGCTGCTTCTGGAAGACCTAGAACAGTTCAAAAAAGCGTTAAAAACGATCAAGCGCCTACTAGAAGACGTGCAATCTGTCGATACATCGCTCCAATTGCTTCAACCTGTCGAGGAAAGAGAATGGGACCTTCTTGGCGCAAGCGTAGCGGAGGAGTTAAAGAAAACGATTAGCAGCTGCACGCAAGCGTGCGATCTCTTTACGACCAACCTTCAGCGCTAAACTAGACATTTAGAAGATGGGGAACTAGCATAGCAGGATCGAACAAGTGTGGGGTTCTTTAAGAAAGGACAAATTAGGGCTATATCGGAGCAGCTTTAAAACTGCAAGCTCTCGAACAATTCGGTCATGAGTATAGCGACCTTGTGAGTAACTGCATTTTCATGGCATATTGCGAGATTTGAGCTAATCTTGCCTCATAGATACAACTCTGTCCGCCATACCCACATAACGGAAGATATCAAGAAGATAATAGCTACAACACAGGCCAAGGTTAAGGATGCTATGACTACAACGAATAAGCAGCTGGTAGTATCGGAGAGCAAGCTCGAAGAGCTGAACCTCAGCAACGACAACAAGGAAGCGGCTGGGCCTAAAGAAGGCAAAACTAAGGCATTGCGGCAACTTAAAGAAGAACGCAAAGCGGTATCTGCATCACAGAGGCTGCTGGATGAGCTGCTGTCAAAGACGCAAGAAGACGCTGTTGCCAAAGCTGCCGCGAAGAACCAGGGCATTTCGACCACAGTGACCAGCGTGACGTTTGGCAATTAGAACTCGTGCCAGCAAGCTGGAGTCATCAGCGGTTGGACCAACTTTTGGGCGAAGTAAGCATAACGCCTTTATAGAATTCTAGAGGGAAGTCAGGATTTTAATCGAAGATATGTGACCTCTATATTCGGTCGATACTCTATCCAGATTGCTTGAAATGCCCCATCGCGCTCTGCTTCTTACGGCCTACTTGGTCAATATACTACTCTAAAACACGTTGGATCCTTGCTCTGGGCCAGCAGACTTCAACGTCCGGCTGATGATGTAGGTTTGGTACAAGCGTCTCAAACTCGTCCACAGGAAGTTCATCAACACTATCCTAATACATCCGCGCTACGGGGCCCTCTATGGCGCGACGGGAGCCTCCGCTGGCTCTAGCACCTCGCTCATCCGCGCCGCTTTCCTCTTTGCCACTGACGAAGCCGCATCTACCTCTAGTGACAGATTTTTACGCTTACGACCGCGATTTGCCTTGCTTGCAGAAGCTTTCTCCTTTGCAGCACGTTTCGCTCGCGCCTCCTCAAGATCCTCATAGTTCATTACCTTCGCTTTTCCTAGGACTACAGATTAAAAGTAGTAGTAACCTACTATTAGCACTAATATCTTTAATAGCAGTTACTATTATCCGCTTAATACCTGCGCCTCTATAGTTTTATAGATTATTTTACCTACTAGAACTTTAATAGAGCCGAGTATATATAGTATATCCCCTATTTTATCTATATTATATATATTCTCTACTAGAATAGCCAGATTCTATAGAACTAACCTAATTACCTTAAACTAGGTAAGGCTAATTTTATTAGTTATCTATTTATTATTACTAACACCTATTAACTAGTTATATAGTATAATATTATTCTTATACTAAGCAGCTTAGTATATTACAGCATTAAAGATGGGCGCTAGTACCTGTACACCCCCTTTTTAGTAGTTGTACACCCCCCTTTCTAGTAGTTGTACACCCCCTAAACCCCTGTCGTTTCACCGCCCT